AGCAGTCATACACCATGAAGACCCAACACATTCATCCGTCAGTCAGTACAACTTGTCACACTTCATCCGTTTATACAGTACTTGTGTCATAGACCCCAAGCGTTATACACCATGAAGACCCAACACCATGAAGAACCAACACTTCATCCGTACAATACGGTATGTCATTTACCGAGCAGTCATACACTATGAAGACCCAACACTTCATCCGTCCAATACGACATGTCAGACCGAGCAGTCATACACCATAAGGACCCAACACTTCATCCGTCCAATATGGTATAATCATAGACCGAGCAGTCATACACTATGAGGACCCAACACTTCATCCATCCAATACGACATGTCATAGACCAAGCAGTCATACACCATGAAGACCCAACACCATGAAGACCCAACACTTCATCCGTCCAATACGACATGTCATAGACCAAGCAGTCATACACCATGAAGACCCAACACTTCATCCGTCCAATACTGTATGTCATAGACCGAGCGATCATACACTATGAGGACCCAACACTTCATCCATCCAATATGACACGTCAGACCGAGCAGTCATACACCATGAAGACCCAACAACACCATGAAGAACCAACACTTCATCCGTCCAATATGGTATGTCATAGACCAAGCGGTCATGCACTATAAAGACCCAACACTTCATCTGTACAATATGGTATCTCATAGACCGAGCGGTTATACACCATAAGGACCCAACACTTCATCCGTCCAATATGGTATGTCATAGACCAAGCGATCATGCACTATAAAGACCCAACACGTCATCCGTACAATACGACATGTCATAGACTGAGAGGTCATACACCATGAGGACCCAACACCATGAGGACCCTTCATCCGTCCAATATGACACGTCATAGACAGAGCGGTCATACACCAAGAGGTCCCAACATGTCATCCATACAATATGACATGTGATAGACCGAGCGGTCATACACCATGAGGTCCCAACACATCATCCGTACAATATGACACGTCATAGACCGAGCGGTCATACACCATGAGGACCCAACACTTCATCCGTACAATACGACATGTCAGACCGAGCGGTCATACACCATGAGGACCCAACACTTCATCCGTACAATACGACATGTCATACAGAGCGGTCATACACCATGAGGACTCAACACTATTCGTTGTGCCTCCAAAGTGTCACTTTGCTGAAAATTCTCTCCATCTCCCACATTGTCTCCCAACAACTCGTCAGCTATATGCAGCACAAGGCTGGCTGCCGATTGGCTAGATAATTTATTAGTCAAAACCGTTTCATTATGTGCAAGTGGGAACATTATTCAGGAGGGATATTATGCTGGGATTATATCGATTCATTCACTATGCTGGATCTGATCCTACATGAAGCCTTCCAAATGCAATCTGGTCCTACAGATAAAGCCCCTCTCATGGGAACTGGTCCTAAGAGAAGAACTCCAGCATGGGATACAGACCTGCGTGATGCCCTTTTTCTACACAATGCTCCCCATGAGATTTGGGCCTACATGATGCTCCCCACAGGATTTGATCCTACATGAAGCACACTCCTTTCATGAGAGCTGGTCCTATATGAATAATTCCTCCCCATGGGAGTTGGTCATACATGAGGCAACCTCCCCTATGAAACCTGATCTTACATGTAGCCACCCCATGGTATCTGGTCGTACATGAACAGCCCCAAAATGGAATATGGTCCTATATAAAGCCCTTACTGTGGGATACGCTTCTCCATGAAGCCTCCCATGAGATCTGGGCCTCCATGAAGATCTATGGGATCTGATCCTAGAAGTAGTCCCTCATAGGATCTGGCCTTACATAAAGCCCCCCATGGAATCTGATCTTACATAAAGCCCCCTAAAAGATCTGAACCTACATGATTCGCCCCCCCCCCTTCATGAGATCTGGCCCTACAGTTCATTAAGCCCTCCCCATGGTATTCAGTCCTATATGAACACGCTTAGGATCCAACCCTGTATCCTACATACTCCATTTCTGTGGTGTCTAGGCCTACATGAAGCCCTCATGGGATCTGCTCCTACATGAAGCCCCCCCCCCCCCAGCTCTCCTGCATGCAGAATGTCAGTGTGATGTTTGTGTAGATGTGTTGTTCCCTCTTTCCTCACAGTGCTAGCACAAATGGCTGCTGTGTACCTAGGCGACAGATGATAGAGGGGCGCTCGCTGCCTCGAATGGTCCCAATATGCACACAATACAGCGGTGATGAAAGATGAAGGGGCGCCTTGAATTACATAACTAGATACCAGAGGATGAGGAAATCACTTCAACAATGGAGATCTGCCACACATAAAAGTGATGGGACTTTCACAATGAGAGGTTGTCACATATTAATTCTAATGGATTTAAACCCAAGGCCAGGACTAGGGAGGTGGTTCACTGATGCACAGGTTCAAGTTGGCTCTTGTGGGGTGGTTTATTTCGGGGGTATATTGGTTTACATGCTTGTTGATAGAGTCTTTATTGTAGGTTATTTTTTCTGCTTTCCTTTTAAAAATAAAGTGGACTTCTCTTGGAGAGTTTTCTGTTGTGGGTATTTTGTTACAGCTTTTTTTTTTTTTTACATTTGAAGAGCTCAGCTGTGACAGACCAGAAGAGGGCACACCCATCTTAAGGTGATTGACCATTTGTTCTTGGAGATGCCTTGAGCACAGCACTGCATTGTTGGGGGGGGAGCAAAGTGCGCCCCTAAAACCACTTCACAGATAGAAGTTAGGCATGCACAGTTAGGCCTATTCCCATCCTGCCTTTGGCCAATTTTTACATTACTCTGTCCTTTGCAGTCTCTACATTCTTGTACTAAAGCCTCAGTATACTTTGTTGCTAGGAAGCTTGGGCCTAGCCTTGCTCATTAGAATTGTCCCGCTGCTGACCCATTTGGTACTTCTGTGTCCTTGGCAGCCTCTTAAGTCTTGTAGCAGAGCCCCATCCTGTGCTCTTGTAAAGTCAAGGCCTAGACACTAGAATTTTACGAATTCCTACACTGCATTATCGGCAGCCTCTAAATTCTTGCAGGAAAGCCCCAGCCTGTGCTCCCCTGTGAATTTGGGCCTAGCCTCATTCATTAATATTGCTTCTGGCCAACTTTACATGGCCGTGCCACCAGCAGTCTAGTTTGTCCTGTATTGGTGGTAGTCACAATGAACTTCTGCCCCAACATATCTGCTGGTCACTGCAGGCTTATGACCATTCAATAAAGTGTGCCTCACTAGAACTACCAGGAAAAGCCTATAAACTGAAATGACTCCTATGAAGGGGTGCGGCTGTGAGATTAGTACAATAAAATCAAATTGCATGCCAAAGACAGCCCACAAGACAGAGAAACCCATTCTAACAGAACATCCTACGTTACAAACCATGTTGTGGGATGACTGAAGGATTGTGTACCCAACATTGCCCTCCAAGCCACATGAGACCTTCTCTACTGTACTTCCAGCATTGTTACTCCCCCTCCATATGGCATGGCCCACCTTCCCATGAACTACAGCTAGTAGTTTGCCTGGGAGCCCTAAGAACAGCCAGAGATTTGCAACAAAACCTGCCCACCCCCTAGACTAGAGTGATTTGCCTCTAAATTTGGGCACAGCAACAAGATTCTCTGTAACCTCGGTGAGCCAAACCCAATCTGACCCTTATTCCAGACGAGTCTTGTATGGATGTCAAGGGATCCCAGGAGAGGGGGTGGTGTTGCCTCTGCCAACTTCAATAAACCCCAACCCAGGATTGCAGCCTAACTGGCCAGGAAATGGGTGGATAACACCCCATTTTTAGGAGTAAAGGGGTACATAGTACCTCTGTTCACACAAACCGTGAGTGTATGGAGTTTGACACGTTTAGCAACTTATGGAATTCCCCCACAATGCATCACCTCCCCCCAACATGACAGACAGCAGCAGAATTTCTCCCAAAAAATTCAGACAGCAGAGCAAATACCATCCTGAGAAAGGTCATCACCCCTACTGAGGATTGTACAGTCCATGCAGGACAGATACTGGGAACGTGGATATATTCTATAGAGCAGAGTGACTGTGTCCAGTAGTGGAATGACCCTGGCGGGGGTGGATGCATTTGATCTGTACTTCTATGCCACCCCCACCCAACTCCTCTGATGTCTTAGGTTGGTCAATAGCTCCATTGTCTAGTTTGCTCTCAGTCTCCTCATTGTCTTGGTAATGATGGTACAGCATATTGGGGGGGGGGGGTCTAGGTTTCAATTTCCTGGCCATAGATACTTTACTTTGATAATTACAGTTGTGTGTCAGCCCAGCCCTCTGGCCACCAAGGGCAATGCCAAGGAATTTCTTCCTCTAACATTTCCATCAGATGAATGGAATCAGTCCCTCCCACACAGGACAACTCTATGATTGTACACAAGACCTGGGGTTGTCAAAGATTGGTCGTTTACAGATGGGCACAAGTCGCATGCAGGACTTTATCTTTGTCCAAAACTGGAAGATGTCCCATTGGGGAGATTTCCCTCCTGTCCTATAGACAGAAACCGGAGCTCTCCCAACATGTGAAAAGTCTACTCATCACTGAAGAACCCTGTCCATTACCCAACATCCTAGTTCCTGCAGACTCACTCCACTACCCCACCCCTATTCTAGTTCCAGGGACAAATTTTTGGATTCCCCACCTTAAATTTTCAGTCTCACTTACCAGATAGCAAATAACCCCAACTCAGACCATGCTGACTGGGATCCCAACCCCCACCCCCAATAGATTAGTGGTCATCTGAGTCTCCCTACCATCTAGGAGAACCAGTCACAAGCGGTTTAATCAGATTTTCTACTCTTGGAGAGCTGCCCATGTTTACCTCAGAAGGGCACAAACATGTTCAGGCCACACAGGTCACTTCTACAAAAGATTATTTTATTAAACACTAAATCAGTATAAAAACACAATACAAGCTCCCCCACCCCCCCTTCCCAGAGTCTGTCCTCATGCCATAAGACCCCCATTGGTTCTCACACATAGTTCTTGGTGGTGTACTCGCTGCGAGCCCCAGAGGTGGCAGCAGTATAGCGGGCAGTGTATGGGGCATCATTTTTCTTGGGGCAGGAGCAGCTCAGAAGCCCCCCACCCAGCAGCATCAGAGCAGAGGAAGCCCAGCCAATGTAGAGAGAAGCCCCCAACTCTCTCTTCTGGGCATCTGTCACCAATGGGTTGTAGAAGTCACGGATGATGCTGTTTGCTGACCAGCAGACAGGAATGAGCATTAGGACTCCTGCCACCACGAAGACCACACCAGACACCAGGCTGACCCTTGCCTTCGTATTCTCATTTTCCACACAGTTGGTACATTTGGCTCCCACAATGCCAATGAGCAGGCCTAGGATGGCTACCAGGATAGAGATGACAGTGATGATGGCTCGGGCAGCCTGAAGATCTTGAGGCAGGGCCAACATGGAATCATACACCTTGCACTGCATCTGGCCAGTGCTTTGAACAATGCAATTCATCCACAGTCCTTCCCAGATGATCTGGGCCACCACAATGTTGTTCCCGATGAATGCTGTCACCTTCCACATCGGAAGAGCACATGTAATGATGGATCCCACCCAGCCAATCAAGGCCATAACCATCCCAAGAAGCTGAAGACCAGTAGAAGCCATTGTGACTGGACTCTGCAAGAGAAGCACACAGGTCATTACACTGCCACCAAAGCCAATCAATTTAGAAGCAAGTCAAGTGATCAGTCATGCACAATCCTATCTTTTAGGCTGGACCTCAATTTTGCCTTCTATATCACCCAAGTTGGTTTACAGTCAGTGCACACAATATACCCCAATCATTAGGGTCACCAAAACTTGACCCCACCACCCCCTTTACCAAGACAATTAATTTGTGACCAGCCAAGTGTTGGGACTCTCAGTCTTTTGGCGCTCTGGGCCAGGATCCTAGTTGGCAAGTTAAAGTTCCTCTGGACCTATACAAAGCTTGGCAAGTAAGGAGACCTCTTCCCTTCAGTTTAGAGCTTCTGACCAATGAGACTTGTCCTGATCAGCAAGATACAAGGCACCAATGGAAGACATCCTGTCAACCAAGACTTTATGGCTCAGGACTACAGATACAAGGGAACCATGCCCCATTCAGCTGAGGGACTGAGCCCAGCCAGAGCACAGTCCAGCCTCTTATTCCCGATGGTGCAAGCCTTGTAGATGCCAATGTTCCTGAAAGCTAAAGTTGAAACCAGAGAAACTTATACCTGGGATGATCCCCAACTAAACCATCCATTTGCAATAATGCCAAGACACCACCCCCGGAGGCAACAGCGAGCAAATCTCATCCTCCTGCACGTTCATGAATCCCAAACATATTGCAGGTCAACCTTTAGATTGATTTTCAGCCCCACTTTATTTTGATAATGTTGGAAACAATCCCTACCCTAGGGTAACAACACTCCTCTGCAATTGAAGGAGCCATGTTGTCACCCAGGCTGGACTTCAGGACTTGTCTTGACATTACATGAGGGGTGAGGCAATTCGTGTACAGAAGATAAAGATCGCTTCCTATGTTCCACTCAAAAGGACAACTGCATTTCTGGCAGATCAGAATCTTCTGTACTCGCTGGAGCGTTCTCATCCCACAAATGAAAGCCAAAGAAGCCGCCACATCTAAGGGATGATAGCAACAATGCCACCATTCCTTTACAAGGGGCAGCCATATTGGATCAACTCATACAAAGAATACCTCCAGCTCTGCATCCAACCATCTCAGGCTTTACCTGAAGCTCTGGCAGTTCAGCTAGAGTGCAGGTTGCATAAGGAGTCCTCAGCATAATAGAAATATGGGACAGAAGCCATGTCACCATTGTTTGGTCAGGTCTGCCGCCACATACTGCTCAGACTATAGTAGAGGTCAAACAACTCAATCACCAAAACCATTCCAAGCATGGACACCACCATACACAGACAGGTGACCCTGAATACAGGTGAATGAAGCCCCCCTCCCCCACCACCATTGTGCTCAGATCAGGACCACCCCTTCCCTTTGGGGGGGGGGGGGGGGGAGGAAACAATGAGCCAAGATTCCTCCACACAATGAATAAAGTTTATGGAGGAAGCTGAGAATTCTCCACCCAGATTCCCCCCCCCCCCCCCCCGCTGGGAATCAGAGGGAGACTACAATCAGGTGTATCCTGTATACAAAGACTAAGGTGCCTAGAACCCCCCCCCCCCCTAATACATAGGTTTTAGAACTCCCCCACCCACGTACCTGCTAAGGACCAACATACAGACACCCCCCCCCCCCCCCCCCCCATTTAGAGCTCAGAACCTCCCAATCACATTTTATGAGGCTCACCACACCAAGACTGGTCAGCAGGTGGAAGGGCCACTCTACACCATAGGGACCACTGGGGCACAACACCACTTCCCCCCCATTCATATCCAAAAGACCCCCCACCATACACTGACTCCAGTCAGTAGGTAGAGACCCCCCCCATAGACAACCCAAATAAGCCATACTGTAGACCATTACAGGGGCACAACACCCCACCATACAGATTACCCCCAAGTGCACACCATACATCAGATGGAAGAGCCCCATCACTATAGGGGCACAGTCCCCCCAACCAGGTGGATTGATCCGTCAGCATCATAGGATTACACCCCAAGTCACAATCTATAGACTGCTGCCTCCCCAAGATCAGGGTCTCCAAGCAGTGGCCCACAGGCCAAATGTGGCCCTTTGTTTGCCTTTATCTGGCCCTATTTCTCTGACACCAACAATGGGGTACTATTCCTTCCAGACACCAGAGATGGGGGAACCAATTCTCCCACTGACACCAATAGTGGGGCACTATTCCTTCCACTGACACCAATGATCTATACTTTAACCCTCACTGACCTCCAAGCCTTTGGCATTATTTACTCCCATTGATTCCAGAGCATTTTCTACCCCCACTAGTCATAGTCTGCGCCCCCCCCCCCCCCCCCCTCCTAAAGCTTGAAGGGTAGTAAAGTGGTCCTTTGTTTCAAGAGTTTGGAGACCCCTCACCATCACAAGGTTAGACATTCCCAAAGTCACAACTTAGTGCCCCACCAAAGGAACTAAGCAATCCACAGAGACCCCCCCCCCCCCCCTTCAGACCATAGATAGTCTCCAACAAGGGCACAGCAAGTCCCCCCATATCACATCCTATGGCGACCCCACCAGACTGAACAAGGGGACCCCATACTACACAGGCATCCCTCACTATTATAGTCCACCACCTAGAATGCAAGGGACCCAATCCTATACAGAGAAATCCAATGATCAGACACCCAAAGAGCAAGCAAGTCCCCTGAACCCCCAAATCCCAGCCACCATCACCCAGACCTTCTTACCTGCTGCAGAAAGGAGAAGAATGCTGATTACCTGCCCCCTCCCTGGGTTATATACCCCCCTGATGACATCACAAGGAGAGAGGAATCAGGTGGAGGAGGAACAATGGGGGAAGTGTCCTCACCTGGGAGGGAAGTTTCACTGAAACCCCTTCATCACCATCATCCTCACCAGGGGGGAGGGGAGGAAGTCTGGTGTGTCAGCTCCTGGGACCAAAATACTTAACCCTCATTACAATGCTGTGTGAAGCTCACAACATAAACCGTGTTTTTCTATACAAAGTATCATCAACGTTTCTATTTATAATATATCATCAAAGTCTCTATATACAATGTATCATAATATCATCAGTGTGTATACAGTATATAATGTATCATCATTTCTACATATATCCTTAATTGATGTCTCTATATACAACGTATCGTCATTATCAATAATGCTGATCACCCTCTGTGTGTACCATGTATCACAGACAGTTCTCATTGCAGATCTCCCATCCAATGTACAATGCATACACCCCGTATCCTCCACCCTGCAGTACTTTGTGCTTCTGAAATTAAAGGGACTCCAATGAGATACCCAACAGTGGTTCTATCTGTATCAGAGGATTCATGGTGTGGTTGTTGGGTCTGGTTGTAGTCTGGAGATTGGATGGGTGATTGTTGGATCTGGTAGTAGTCTGGAGATTGGATGGGTGGTTGCTGGATCTGGCTGTAGTCTGGAAATTGGATGGGTGATTGTTGGATTTGGAGTAATCTGGAGATTGGATGGGTGATTGTTGGATTTGACTGTAATCTGGAGATTGGATGGGTGATTGTTGGGTCTGGCTGTAGTCTGGAGATTGGGTGGGTGATTGTTGGGTCTGGCTGTAGTCTGGAGATTGGGTAGATGGTTGTTGGATCTGTCTGTAGTCTGGAGATTGGATGGGTGATTGTTGGGTCTACTTGTAGTCTGGAGATTGGATGGTTGATTGTTGGGTCTGGTTGTAGTCTGGAGATTGGGTGGGTGATTGTTGGGTCTGGCTGTAGTTTGGAGATTGGATGGATGATTGTTGGGTCTGGTTGTAGTCTGGAGATTGGATGTGTGATTGTTGGATCTGGCTGTAGTCTGGAGATTGGATGTGTGATTGTTGGATCTGGCTGTAGTCTGGAGATTGGGTAGATGGTTGTTGGATCTGTCTGTAGTCTGGAGATTGGATGGGTGATTGTTGGGTCTGGTTGTAGTCTGGAGATTGGGTGGGTGGTTGTTGGGTCTGGTTGTAGTCTGGAGATTGGGTGGGTGATTGTTGGGTCTGGCTGTAGTCCGGAGATTGGATGGGTGATTGTTGGGTCTGGCTGTAGTTTGGAGATTGGATGGGTGATTGTTGGATCTGGCTGTAGTCTGGAGATTGGATGTGTGATTGTTGGATCTGGCTGTAGTCTGGAGATTGGATGTGTGATTGTTGGATCTGGCTGTAGTCTGGAGATTGGGTGGGTGATTGTTGGGTCTAGCTGTAGTCTGGAGATCTGGAGATTGGGTGGGTGATTGTTGGGTCTGGCTGTAGTCTGGAGATTGGGAGGGTGATTGTTGGCTCTGGCTATAGTCTGGAGATTGGGTGGGTGGTTGTTGGATCTGGCTGTAATCTGGAGATTGGATGTGTGATTGTTGGGTCTGGCTGTAGTCTGGAGATTGGGTGAGTGATTGTTGGGTCTGGCTGTAATCTGGAGATTGGGTGGGTGATTGTTGGGTCTGGCTGTAGTCTGGAGATTGGGTGGGTGATTGTTATGGGTCTGGCTGTAGTCTGGAGATGGGTGGGTGGTGGTTGTCTGGATGGGTTGTTGGATCTGGCTGTAATCTGGAGACTGGGTGGGTGGTTGTTGGATTTGGCTGTAATCTGGAGATTGGATGGGTGATTGTTGGATCTGGTTGTAGTCTGGAGATTGGGTGGGTGATTGTTGGGTCTGGCTGTAGTCTGGAGATTGGGTGGGTGGTTTTTGGATCTGGTTGTAGTCTGGAGATTGGGTGGGTGGTTGTTGGATCTGGTTGTAGTCTGGAGATTGGGTGGGTGATTGTTGGGTCTGGCTGTAGTCTGGAGATTGGGTGGGGGTGGTTGTTGGATCTGGTTGTAGTCTGGAGATTGGGTGGGTGGTTGTTGGATCTGGCTGTAGTCTGGAGATTGGATGGGTGATTGTTGGGTCTGGCTGTAGTCTGGAGATTGGGTAGATGGTTGTTGGATCTGTCAGTAGTCTGGAGATTGGATTGGTGATTGTTGGGTCTGGTTGTTGGTTGGTGTCTGGTAGTAGTCTGGAGAACGGTTGGGTGAGTGGTTGCCGGGTTTGGCAGCAGTCTGGAGATTTGGGGATGGATGATTGTTGGGTCTGGTTGTAGTCTGGAGAATGGATGATGATTGTTGGGTCTGGCTGTAGTCTGGAGATTGGGTGGGTGATTGTTGGATCTGGCTGTAGTCTGGAGATTGGGTGGGTGGTTGTTGGATCTGGCTGTAGTCTGGAGATTGGGTGGGTGGTTGTTGGATCTGGTTGTAGTCTGGAGACTGGGTTGGGTTGGTGGTGTAATCTGGAGATTGGGATGGGTGATTGTTGGATCTGGTTGGTTGATTGGGTGGGTGATTGTTGGGCTGGCAGTCTGGAGATTGGATGGGATGATTGTTGGGTCTGGTTGTAGTCTGGAGATTGGATGGATGATTGTTGGGTCTGGTTGTAGTCTGGAGAACGGTTGGGTGAGTGGTTGTTGGGTTTGGCAGTAGTCTGGAGATTGGATGGTTGATTGTTGGATCTGGTTGTAGTCTGGAGATTGGGTGGGTGGTTGTTGGATCTGGCTTTAGTCTGGAGATTGGGTGGGTGGTTGTTGGATCTGGCTGTAGTCTGGAGATTGGATGGATGATTGTTGGGTCTGGCTGTAGTCTGGAGATTGGGTAGATGGTTGTTGGATCTGGCTGTAGTCTGGAGATTGGATGGGTGATTGTTGGGTCTGGCTGTAGTCTGGAGATTGGGTAGATGGTTGTAGTCTGGATCTGTCAGTAGTCTGGAGATTGGATGGATGGATGATTGTTGGGTCTGGTTGTAGTCTGGAGATTGGATGGATGATTGTTGGGTCTGGTTGTAGTCTGGAGAACGGTTTGGGTGAGTGGTTTGTGGTTGCCTGGAGATTGGGGTTTGGCAGCAGTCTGGAGAATGGGTATGGAGATTGGATGATTGTTGGTCTGGTTGTAGTCTGGAGATTGGGATTGGATGGATGATTGTTGGGTCTGGTTGTAGTCTGGAGATTGGATGGATGATTGTTGGGTCTGGTTGTAGTCTGGAGAACGGTTGGGTGAGTGGTTTCCGGGTTTGCAGCAGTCTGGAGAATGGATGGGTGATTGTTTGGTTTGCCAGTAGTCTTGGGATTGGATGAGTGATTATAAGCTCTGAAAGTAGTCTGGAGTTTGGGTGGTCATCAGGTGTGGTGGCAGACTCGAGATTGGGGGATGGTTGTCTGTGTACGCAGGTGGTTGGTATATGTGTGTCAGTCTCTGGACAGATATGAGGAGCTCTGCAGGACAGAGATGGTGAGAAGAAAGAACCTATCCCCACCTCACGCTGTGCTTCATTCTTGCGATTCATCTCAGCCTCACACAGGAAGTATTGGTCATTCATTAACAACCTGACGGTCCAATGACCTCTGATGGCACTGAGGGAATATCTTCCCCCATATTTGCCTAGATGTCACCCCTCCCCCAACCACCATAGTCTGATGTACCGTCCTCCATATCCACCCTCAGAGCGGAATGTGGGGCCCGTCCTCCATATCCACCCTCAGAGCGGAATGTGGGGCTCGTCCTCCATATCCACCCTCAGAGCGGAATGTGGGGCTCGTCCTCCATATCCACCCTCAGAGCGGAATGTGGGGCCCGTCCTCCATATCCACCCTCAGAGCGGAATGTGGGGCTCGTCCTCCATATCCACCCTCAGAGCGGAATGTGGGGCTCGTCCTCCATATCCACCCTCAGAGCGGAATGTGGGGCTCGTCCTCCATATCCACCCTCAGAGCGGAATGTGGGGCTCGTCCTCCATATCCACCCTCAGAGCGGAATGTGGGGCCCGTCCTCCATATCCACCCTCAGAGCGGAATGTGGGGCTCGTCCTCCATATCCACCCTCAGAGCGGAATGTGGGGCTCGTCCTCCATATCCACCCTCAGAGCGGAATGTGGGGCTCGTCCTCCATATCCACCCTCAGAGCAGGATGTGGGGCTCGTCCTCCATATCCACCCCTCAGAGCGGAATGTGGGGCTCGTCCTCCATATCCACCCTCAGAGCGGAATGTGGGGCTCGTCCTCCATATCCACCCTCAGAGAGGAATGTGGGGCCGTCCTCCATATCCACCGGAATGTGGGGCCTCAGAGCGGAATGTGGGGCCCGTCCTCCATATCCACCCTCAGAGCGGAATGTGGGGCTCCGCCGGAATGTCCTCCATATCCACCCTCAGAGCGGAATGTGGGGCCGTCCTCCATATCCACCCTCAGAGCGGAATGTGGGGCTCGGAGTTTATTGCTGATATGAGGCATGAGGTATGGAAGTCCTCCATAGGCTGGTGTCCTTTGAGATCTGGTCTCCTATAACAAGGCATAGCAGACATTGCGGGGAGGGTAATGTGTTCTGGGAATGGGGGCAGAAACTCGCATTGTGCTGGAGGTGCCGTCATCTCCAAATGACACCCCAGATGCGGCGAGCGCTCCCACATTCTGTGGCACAAAACACAAGGAAAGCACTTGGCTTAGAGCCCAACAAGGTGCAGGAGATACGATGGAGCGTCAGGGCAGCCCATTCAACTGAATTCAAGTGAGCGGGATGCCCTGTGCTAATGGGAGACAAACGCACCAAAAACGCAGTGAATGCGACATATGGGGTACAGTGTGGTGATTGGGGTCCAGTGATATGATTGGGGTTCAGTGCTGTGATTGGGTGTAATGTTGTGTTTGAGGTGCCATGTGGTGATTGGAGTGCAGAAAGGTGAGTGGGGTCGCGGGGTGGTGATTGGGGTTGAGTACATTTATTGGGGTGCAGTGAAGTGATTGGGGTGCAGTGTGGTGATTGGGGTGCAGTGTGCTGGTTGGGGTACAGTGTGGTGATTGTGGTGCAGTGTAGTGATTGGGGTGCAGTGTGGTGGTTGGGGTACAGTGTGGTGATTGTGGTGCAGTGTAGTGATTGGGGTGCAGTGTGGTGATTGGGGTTCAGTGTGGTGGTTTATTGGGGTGCAGTGCTATGATTGTGGTTCAGGTCTATAATTGGGGTGCAGTGTAATGATTGGGCTTCAGGTCTGTTATTGGGGTTCAGTTCTATGATTGGGGTGCCTGTAATTGGGGTTCAGGTCTATGATTGGGGTGCAGTGATTGGGGTTTCAGGTCTATGATTAGGGTGCAGTGCAGTGATTGGGGTTCAGGTTCTATAATTGGGGGGTGTAGTGTAATTATTGGGGTTCAGGTCTATGATTGGGGTGCAGTGATTGAGGTTCAGGTCTATGATTGGGGTGCAGTGATTGGGGTTCGGGTCTATGATTGGGGTGTAGTGATTGGGGTTCGGGTCTATGATTGGGGTGCAGTGTAATGATTAAGGGGGGTTGTACAGTTCAGGTGACGGTGGATTTGGGGGGTCAGTATACAGGGGAGTATGAGTGGTCTCTCGGCAGGGGATGGGGGGTGACATTGGGGTGTGTTCCCGGATTGCGGGGTGTAATTTTCGGATTCCACAATGATTCTCCCTCATTATCCCCATCAGAGTGGAACATCTCAGGACCCCTCCCCCCCCCCAGGCTGGAGCGTCAGCCTGTGGTCCAGGGGCACACTGCAATCTGCGATAACCCATAACAACCAATCACGTCACTTTCTGGGGTCCAATCAATGGCGTCCCCATAGGGCCCCCCGGAGACCGGATCAGGGTACTACACCCCATACCAACTTGGGGACTCTGCGCCCTGGGAGTACCGCCCTTCCCCCCCTCACATGTAGAGTGTAAGCTCCTCTGCCACGGAGACTGAGCCATGGAATTGTAACAACAATAATAATGATGGAGGATGGAGATATCACAGCGCCCTCCGCCGGTAACACTGAACACTCCATCACGGTTTCCCTCAGTTAAGATGGCCGCTGCTGTAGATCTCGGAAGGGGCGGGACACAGGAAGTTACACGCGGCACAGAACGGGGAAGAGCACATACACCAGGAAGTGCTGTGGCCGCCATATTGGCACACCCTGAGCACAGTTGTTAGGATCGGCACTTGGTCGGGAAGGTCAGACGGTGATTGGTGTGTCTGAGATCTCTCACCCCGAACTCCGACATCACAACACCCCAACCATTTCTAATATTGAGCGATCATTCTATTGGTGGGTGTACAAACATGGCGGCGCCCTGACTTCATCCTCCATATTACTCCAATGTGTGAGAAGAGAACCGGCGGCAGGCATGAAGCTGCTCAGCAAAGACATCGAGAAAGACAACGCGGGGTGAGGAAATACACGGCACGACTTCCATCGGGTGTGTGGGGACTGACAAGCAGGAGGGGGCGGGGAGTGTAATGGAGCCCCTCCCCCCTCTGTCCTCAATCCCTCCATAGACTGGAGGATCATTCTACCAGCAGAAGGCTCATAGACAAGTCCCGCCCCCTGGGTGTGTCCTTCTATGACGTACGCAGCAGGGAATGCAGGTGTAAGCGGGGGAGGGGCTGCCGCTTCTCTACGCGTTTCGTCGATGGCGTTCCTCAGGGGAGGGGTTTGTGGATCAGCCCAGGGAGCGGTTCTGTGGAGGACAGTTCTTCCATGACGGGGGAGTTGGGGGGTGTAGCCGGGAGCAGTGCAGCCAAGGGTCGGGCTGCGTTGGTTCATTGCCAGGAATAAAATGTACGTTTTGTACACTTCAAATAAAGTTTATGAAGCAAGAAAAAAAAACAAAGTCATGTGACGTGCTGAATTGTGCACCACACTGCCCCCTACTGCAGCTGACTGCCGACTACACCCCCCCTCCCATGGAAAAACTCCTCCATAGAACTGCTCCATGGGGACAAAACAGGATCCACAAACCCCTCCCCTGAGGAACGCCACCACGAAACGCGTAGAGAAACAGCAGCCCCTCCCCCACCTGTATTCCCTGCTGTGTACGCCATAGGAGGGAGGAGGACACACCCAGGGGGCGGGATTTGTCAGTCAGCTTTCTGCTGGTATAATAATCCTCCAGTCTAAGGAGGGGACCAGAGACAGGGGGAGGGGCTCAATTACAGTCCCCCGCCCCCTCCTGCCTGTCAGTCCCACTTCTCCTGTCCCGGATGCGGGTGTCATTCTCAGTATCTGTCCCCATTCTGTATGTATGGACTCTGCACAGTCCCACTTCTCCTGTCCCGGATGCGGGTGTCATTCTCAGTATCTGTCCCCGTTCTGTATGTATGGACTCTGCACAGTCCCACTTCTCCTGTCCCGGATGCCGGGTGTCATTCTCGGTATCTGTCCCCGTTCTGTATGTATGGACTCTGCACAGTCCCACTTCTCCTGTCCCGGATGCCGGGTGTCATTCTCGGTATCTGTCCCTATTCTGTATGTATGGACTCTGCACAGTCCCACTTCTCCTGTCCCGGATGCCGGGGTGTCATTCTCGGTATCTGTCCCTATTCTGTATGTATGGACTCTGCACAGTCCCACTTCTCCTGTCCCGGATGCCGGGTGTCATTCTCGGTATCTGTCCTCATTCTGTATGTATGGACTCTGCACAGTCCCACTTCTCCTGTCCCGGATGCCGGGTGTCATTCTCGGTATCTGTCCCTATTCTGTATGTATGGACTCTGCACAGTCCCACTTCTGTCCCGGATGCCGGGTGTCATTCTCGGTATCTGTCCTCATTCTGTATGTATGGACTCTGCACAGTCCCACTTCTCCTGTCCCGGATGCCGGGTGTCATTCTCGGTATCTGTCCCCATTCTGTATGTATGGACTCTGCACAGTCCCACTTCTCCTGTCCCGGATGCCGGGGTGTGATTCTTGGTATCTGTCCTCGTTCTGTATGTATGGACTCTGCACAGTCCCACTTCTCCTGTCCTGGATGCCGGGTGTCATTCTCGGTATCTGCCCCCATTCTGTATGTATGGACTCTGCACAGTCCCACTTCTCCTGTCCCGGATGCCGGGTGTCATTCTCGGTATCTGTCCCTATTCTGTATGTATGGACTCTGCACAGTCCCACTTCTCCTGTCCCGGATGCGGGTGTCATTCTCGGTATCTGTCCTCATTCTGTATGTATGGACTCTGCACAGTCCCACTTCTCCTGTCCCGGATGCCGGGTGTCATTCTCGGTATCTGTCCTCATTCTGTATGTATGGACTCTGCACAGTCCCACTTCTCCTGTCCTGGATGCCGGGGTGTCATTCTCGGTATCTGTCCCCATTCTGTATGTATGGACTCTGCACAGTCCCACTTCTCCTGTCCTGGATGCCGGGTGTCATTCTCGGTATCTGTCCCTATTCTGTATGTATGGACTCTGCACAGTCCCACTTCTCCTGTAGTCTCGGTATGTGGGTGTGGTCGGTGTCATGTGACCTCTCTCTCTCCAGTCAGGTGACGTTGATGCCGGATGAGGCGGAGGACATGTGGCACACCTATAACCTGCTGCAGGTGGGCGATAGTCTGCGAGCCTCCACTATCAGGTGTGTACTCCTCAGGGGTGGAGTTATGTTGGGGGCGTGTCCTCTGTGGGGTGCTGGTGATGTCACTCTGTGGTTGTAGGAAGGTACAGACGGAATCCTCAACAGGAAGTGTCGGCAGCAACCGGATCCGGACCGTCCTCACCATCCGGGTGGAGACCATCGACTTCGACTCTCAGGCCTGCCAGCTCCGGGTGAAAGGCACCAATATCCAGGAGAACCAGTATGTCAAGGTGAGGGCTCCGCCCACTGGGCTCCACCCTTCATACTCCGCCCACAGGGCTCCACCCTTCATACTCCTCCCCCGGGCTCCACCCTTCATACTCCACCCCCTGGGCTCCACCCTTCATACTCCACCCCCTGGGCTCCACCCTTCATACTCCTCCCCCTGGGCTCCACACTTCATACTCTGCACCCTGGGCTCCACCCTTTATACTCCTCCCCCTGGGCTCCACCCTTCATACTCCTCCCCCTGGGCTCCACCCTTCATACTTCACCCCCTGGGTTCCACCCTTCATACTCCTCCCCCTGGGCTCCACCCTTCATACTCCACCCCCTGGGCTCCACCCTTCATACTCCTCCCCCTGGGCTCCACACTTCATACTCCACCCCCTGGGCTCCACCCTTCATACCTCTCCCCCCCCGGGCTCCACCCTTCATACTCCGCCCACTGGGCTCCACCCTTCATACTCCGCCCACAGGGCTCCACCCTTCATACTCTACCCCCTGGGCTCCACCCTTCATACCTCTCCCCCCCTGGGCTCCACCCTTCATACTCCGCCCACTGGGCTCCACCCTTCATACTCCTCCCCCTGGGCTCCACCCTTCATACGTCTCCCCCTGGGCTCCACCCTTCATACTCCGCCCCCTGGGCTCCACCCTTCATACTCCGCCCCCTGGGCTCCACCCTTCATACTTCGCCCCCTGGGCTCCACCCTTCATACTCCTCCCCCTGGGCTTCACCCTTCATACTCCGCCCTCGAGCTCCACCCTTCATACTCCCCCCCCCCCCCGGGCTCCACCCTTCATACTCCGCCCCCCGGGCTCCACCCTTCATACTCCGCCCCCCGGGCTCCACCCTTCATACGCCACCCCCCGGGGCTCCACCCTTCATACTCCGCCCACAGGGCTCCACCCTTCATACTCCGCCCACAGGTCTCCACCCTTCATACTCCGCCCACAGGTCTCCACCCCTTCATACTCCGCCCACAGGTCTCCACCCTTCATACTCCGCCCACAGGGCTTCACCCTTCATACTCCGCCCACAGGGCTCCACTCTTTATACTCCGCCCACAGGGCTCCACTCTTCATACTCCTCCCCCCGGGCTCCACTCTTCATACTCCTCCCCCCAGGCTCCACCCTTCCTACCCCTCTCCCCGGGCTCCACCCTTCCTACCCCTCTCCCCGGGCTCCACCCTTCCTACCCCTCTCCCGGGCTCCACCTTCCCCTACCCCTCTCCCCGGGCTCCATCCTTCCTACCCCTCTCCCCGGGCTCCACCCTTCATACTCCGCCCCCCTGGTGCTCTACCCCCTCACACTCCTACTGTGCTCCACCCCTCACACTCCTCCCTCTGCCCCACCCCCTTTTACACGCCCTCCCTCTGTGCCCCGCCCCTTTCACACTCCTCCCTCTGTGCCCCACCTCCTTCTGTGCTCCACCCCTTTCACACTCCTCCCTTTATGCCCCACCTCCTAACACTCCTCCCTTTGTGCTCCACCTCCTCACACTCCTCCCTCTGTGCTCCACCCCCTCCCTCTGTGCTCCACCCCTTCACACTCCTCCTACTGTGCTCCACCCCTTCACACTCCTCCCTCTCTGCTCCACCCTTTCACACTCCTCCCTCTCTGCTCCACCCTTTCACACTCCTCCCTCTCTGCCCCACCCCTTTCACTCTCCTCCCTCTCTGCCCCACCCCTTTCACTCTCCTCCCTCTGTGCCCCACCCCTTTCACACTCCTCCCTCTGTGCCTCACCTCCTCCCTCTCCTCCATCTATACCCCACCTCCTCACAGTCATCCCTCTATGCCCCACCTCCTCACACTCATCCTTTTGTGCTCCACCTCCTTACACTCCTCCCTCTGTGCTCCACCCCCTCACACTCCTCCCTCTGTGCTCCACCCCCTCACACTCCTCCCTCTGTGCTCCACCCCCTCACACTCCTCCCTCTGTGCTCCACCTCCTCATACTCCTCCCCTAGTGCTCCACCCTTTGTGCTCCACCCCCTCACACTCCTACTGTGCTCTACCTTCTCACACTCCTCCCTCTGTGCTCCATCCCCTCACACACGCCTCCCTCTGTGCCCTCCTCCCCCTCACACTCTTCCCTCTGTGCTCCCCCCCCCTCACACTCCTCCCTCTGTGCTCCTCCCCCCTCACACTCCTCCCTCTGTGCTCCACGCTCTCTCACTCCACCCCCTCACACTCCTCCCTCTGTGCTCCACCCCCTCCACTCCTCCCTCTTTGCTCCACCTCCTCACCTCCCTCTGTGCTCCCCCCTCTCACACTCCTCCCTTTGTGCCCCACCCTCTCACACTCCTCCCTCTTTGCTCCACCCTCTCCCACTCCCCCCTCTGTGCTCCACCCTCTCACACTCCTCCCTCTGTGCTCCACCCTCTCACACACTCCTCCCTCTGGTCTCCACCCTCTCACACTCCTCCCTCTTTGCTCCACCCCCTCACACTCCTCCCTCTGAGCTCCGCCCCCTCCACACTCCTCCCTCTGTGCTCCGCCCCCCACACCTCCTCCCTGTGCTCCGCCCCCTCACACTCCTCCCTCTAAGCTCCACCCTCTCAAACGCCTCGCTCTTTGCTCCACCCCCTGCTCCTCCCCCCTCCCACTTCAAGCAGCCATGTCTCTCCCCCCCATGCGTCTCCTCCTGTCTCCAGATGGGGGCGTATCACACCATCGAGCTGGAACTGAACCGCAAGTTCACCCTGGCCAAGAAGCAGTGGGACAGCATTGTGCTGGAGAGGATCGGTAAGAGGGGCGCTCACACTGCACACATTGTTACTATGAATAGTCCTTGTGATCTGCATACGGTGCTGTATCGGTGCTGAGCCCGGTACATGATGATTGGATGCCGGTAGAGGGACCGCCCTCTAATAAACTCTCTTTCCTCAGAGCAGGCCTGTGACCCCGCCTTCAGCGCCGATGTTGCAGCAGTTGTCATGCAGGAAGGACTCGCCCACATCTGTCTGGTGACACCCCAGTATGACTCTCCTCCGTGCCAAGATCGAGACCAACATCCCGCGCAAGAGGAGGGGCAACTGCTCCCAACATGAGAAGGTGCCCTGTGATTGGCCGTATTCTGCCTTCTGTGACTCTCCCTGATACCTTCCTCTGATCCCGCCCTCCACCTTCCTCTGATCCCGCCCTCCACCTTCCTCTGATCCCACCCTCCATCGTCTCCCCCCACGACACCCTCCCCTGATCCCGCCCTCCGTCCCCTCCCATGACACCTTCCCCTGATCCCGCCCTCCGTCTCCCCCCCCATGACACCTTCCCCTGATCCCGCCCCCGTCTCCTCCCATGACACCTTCCCCTGATCCCGCCCTCCATCCTCTCCCCCCCCCCATGACACCCCCTGATCCCGCCCTCCATCGTCTCCTCCCACGACACCTTCCCCTGATCCCGCCCTCCATCGGCTCCTCCCACGACACCTTCCCCCTGATCCCCCCCTCCATCGGCTCCACCCACGACACCTTCCCCCTAATCCCGCCCTCCATCGTCTCCTCCCCACACACCTCCCCTGATCCTGCCCCCCATCGTCTCCTCCCACGACACCTTCCCCTGATCCCGCCCTCCATCGTCTCCTCCCACGACCCTTCCCCCCCCGCCCCCATCGTCTCCTCCCACGACCCACTCCCCCCCCATCCCCGCCCTCCATCGTCTCCTCCCACGACAGCCCCCCCTGATCCCCCCTCCATCGTCTCCTCCCACGACACCTTCCCCTGATCCCGCCCTCCATCGTCTCCTCCCACGACACCCTTCCCCTGATCCCGCCCTCCATCGTCTCCTCCCACGACACCTTCCCCTGATCCTGCCCTCCATCGTCTCCTCCCACGACACCTTCCCCTGATCCCCCCGCCCTCCATCGTCTCCTCCCACGACACCTTCCCCTGATCCCGCCCTCCATCGTCTCCTCCCACGACTCCCTCCCCTGATCCGCCCTCCATCGTCTCCTCCCACGACACCTTCCCCTGATCCTGCCCTCTGTTTTCTCCCATGACACCCTCCCCCTGATCCCGCCCTCCATCGTCTCCTCCCATGACACCTTCCCCCTGATCCCTCCATCGTCTCCTCCCATGACGAACCCTCCCCCCCTGATCCCGCCCTCCGTCTCCTCCCATGACACCTTCCCCTGATCCCGTCTCCTCTCCTCCCATGACACCCTCCCCTGATCCCGCCCTCCTTCTCCTCCCACGACACCCTCCCCTGATCCCTCCTCCATCGTCTCCTCCCAGGACACCTTCCCCTGATCCCTGCCCTCCATAGTCTCCTCCCATGACACCTTCCCCTGATCCCGCCCTCCATCGTCTCCTCCCACGACACCCTCCCCTGATCCTGCCCTCCATCGTCTCCTCCCACGACACCCTTCCCCTGATCCCTGCCCTCCATCGTCTCCTCCCACGACACCTTCCCCTGATCCCGCCCTCCATCGTCTCCTCCCACGACACCCTCCCCTGATCCCGCCCTCCCATCTCTCCTCCCACGACACCCCTCCCCTGATCCCGCCCTCCATCGTCTCCTCCCACGACACCTCCCCTGATCCCGCCCTCCACATCGTCTCCTCCCACGACACCCTCCCCTGATCCCGCCCTCCTTCGTCCCCTCCTCCCACGACACCCTCCCCTGATCCCGCCCTCCTTCGTCTCCTCCCACGACACCCTCCCCTGATCCCGCCCTCCATCGTCTCCTCCCACGACACCCTCCCCTGATCCCGCCCTCCATCGTCTCCTCCCACGACACCCCTTCCCTGATCCCGCCCTCTCGTCTCCTCCCATGACACCTTCCCCTGATCCCGCCCTCCATCGTCTCCTCCCCACGACACCCTCCCCTGATCCTGCGCTCCGTGTCCTCCCATGACACCCTCCCCCCTGATCCCGCCCCCTCGTCTCTCCCATGACACCTTCCCCTGATCCCGCGTGCTCCGTCTCCTCCCATGACACCCTCCCCTGATCCCGCCCTCCATCCGTCTCTCCCATGACACCCTCCCCTGATCACGCCCTCCATCGTCTCCTCCCATGACACCTTCCCCTGATCCCGCCCTCGTCTCCTCCCCATGACACCCTCCCCTGATCCCGCCCTCCGTCCCTCCCATGACACCCTCCCCTGATCCCCGCCCTCCGTCTCCTCCCATGACACCTTCCCGATCCCCCCATCCGTGCTCTGTCTCCTCCCATGACACCTTCCCCCTGATCCCGCCCTCCCATTGTCTCCTCCCATGACACCCTCCCCTGATCCCGCCCTCCGTCTCCTCCCATGACACCCTTCCCCTGATCCCTGCTCTCCTCCTCCCATGACACCTTCCCCTGATCCCGCCCTCCCGTCTCCTCCCACGACACCCTCCCCTGATCCTGCCCTCCGTGTCCTCCCATGACACCCCCCTGATCCCGCCCCTCTCCGTCTCCTCCCATGACACCTTCCCCTGATCCCTGCTCTGTCTCCTCCCATGACACCTTCCCCTGATCCCGCCCTCCATTGTCTCCTCCCATGACACCCTCCCCTGATCCCGCCCTCCGTCTCCTCCCATGACCCTTCCCCTGATCCCGTGCCCTCCGTCTCCTCCCATGACACCTTCCCCCTGATCGCCCTCCGTCTCGTCCCATGACACCTTCCCCTGATCCCGCCCCCCGCTCCTCCCATGACACCTTCCCCTGATCCCGCCCTCCGTCTCCTCCCATGACACCTTCCCCTGATCCCCCCCTCCGTCTCCTCCCATGACACCTTCCCCCCCCGTGCTCCGTCTCCTCCATGACACTCCCCCTGATCCTCCCTGACCCGTCTCCTCCCCTGACACCTTCCCCTGATCCCGCCCTCCGTCTCCTCCTCCATGACCCCTTCCCCTGATCCCGCCCTCCGTCTCCTCCCATGACACCCTCCCCTGATCCCGCCCTCCGTCTCCTCCCATGACACCTTCCCTGATCCCGCCCTCCGTCTCCTCCCATGACACCCTCCCCTGATCCCGCCCTCCGTCTCCTCCCATGACCACCTTCCCCTGATCCCGCCCTCCGTCTCCTCCATGACACCCTCCCCTGATCCCGCCCTCCGTCTCCTCCCATGACACCTCCCCTGATCCCGCCCTCCGTCTCCTCCCATGACCCCCCCCCTGATCCCGCCCTCCGTCTCCTCCCATGACACCCTCCCCTGATCCCACCCTCCGCCCTCCCATGACACCCCCCCGATCGCCTCCGTCTCCTCCCATGACACCCTCCCCTGATCCCGCCCTCCGTCTCCTCCCATGACCCCTCCCCTGATCCCGCCCTCCGTCCGTCTCTCCCATGACACCCTCCCCTGATCCCACCCTCCGTCTCCTCCCATGACACCCTCCCCTGATCCCCCCCTCCAGGTCTCTCCTCCCATGACACCCTCCCCTGATCTTGTCTCTCTCAGGCTCTGGAGAGGTTCTATGAACAGGTCATGCAGGGAATTATCCTCACATCAACTTTGAAGGTAAGTCCTCGTTACTTCCTGTAAGCTCCGCCTTTCTGTCCCCCCGCCATGTTCTTCCTGCCCATCTCACCCCTCCCCCATCTTGTCCCTCCCCCCCATCTTGTCCCCTCCCCCTCAGTGGTGAAGGTGGTGTTGGTGGCGTCTCCAGGATTTGTCCGCGAACAATTCCCTGCGAATTCCTTTTCCTTCGAGCCGTAAAACAGGATTTGAAGACGCTGCTGGAAAATCGAGGGAAGTTCCTGCAAGTACACAGCTCCTCCGGGCACAAGTACTCCCTGACAGGTACTCCTCCAGACACAGATACTCCCTGACAGGTACTCCTCCAGACACAGATACTCCCTGACAGGTACTCCTCCGGACACAGTACTCCCTGACAGGTACTCCTCCAGACACAGATACTCCCTGACAGGTACTCCTCCAGACACAAGTACTCCCTGACAGGTACTCCTCCAGACACAGATACTCCCTGACAAGTACTCCTCCGGGCACAATACTCCCTGACAGGTACTCCTCCAGACACAGATACTCCCTGACAGGTACTCCTCCGGGCACAAGTACTCCCTGACAGGTACTCCTCCAGACACAAGTCCTCCCTGACAGGTACTCCTCCAGACACAAGTCTACTCCCTGACAGGTACTCCTCCAGACACAGAGTCCTCTCCCTGACAGGTACTCCTCCAGACACAAGTCCTCCCTGACAGGTACTCCTCCGGGCACAAGTCCCCCCTGACAGGTACTCCTCCAGACACAAGTCCTCCCTGACAGGTACTCCTCCAGGACACAAGTCCTCCCTGACAGGTACTCCTCCGACACAAGTCCTCCCTGACAGGTACTCCTCCGGGCACAAGTACTCCCTGACAGGTACTCCTCCGGACACAAGTCCTCCCTGACAGGTACTCCTCCGGGCACAAGTCCTCCCTGACAGGTACTCCTCCAGACACAAGTCCTCCCTGACAGGTACTCCTCCGGACACAAGTCCTCCCTGACAGGTACTCCTCCGGGACACAAGTCCTCCCTGACAGGTACTCCTCCGGGCACAAGTACTCCCTGACAGGTACTCCTCCTCCAGACACAAGTCCTCCCTGACAGGTACTCCTCCAGACACAAGTCCTCCCTGACATGTACTCCTCCGGACACAAGTACTCCCTGACAGGTACTCCTCCGGGCACAAGTCCTCCCTGACAGGTACTCCTCCAGACACAAGTACTCCCTGACAGGTACTCCTCCGGACACAATCCTCCCTGACAGGTACTCCTCCGGGCACAAGTCCTCCCTGACAGGTACTCCTCCGGGCACAAGTCCTCCCTGACAGGTACTCCTCCGGGCACAAGTCCTCCCTGACAGGTACTCCTCCAGACACAAGTACTCCCTGACAGGTACTCCCAGGCACAAGTCCTCCCTGACAGGTACTCCTCCAGACACAAGTCCTCCCTGACAGGTAGGACACAAGTCCTCCCTGACAGGTACTCCTCCGGGACACAAGTCCTCCCTGACAGGTACTCCTCCGGGCACAAGTCCTCCCTGACAGGTACTCCTCCGGGCACAAGTCCTCCCTGACATGTACTCCTCCGGGCACAAGTCCTCCCTGACAGGTACTCCTCCGGGCACAAGTACTCCCTGACAGGTACTCCTCCGGACACAAGTCCTCCCTGACAGGTACTCCTCCAGACACAAGTCCTCCCTGACAGGTACTCCTCCAGACCCAAGTCCTCCCTGACAGGTACTCCTCCGGGCACAAGTCCTCCCTGACAGGTACTCCTCCGGGCACAAGTCCTCCCTGACAGGTACTCCTCCAGACACAAGTACTCCCTGACAGGTACTCCTCCAGACACAAGTACTCCCTGACAGGTACTCCTCCAGACACAAGTACTCCCTGACAGGGTACTCCTCCAGGCACAAGTACTCCCTGACAGGTACCCTCCAGACACAAGTACTCCCTGACAGGTACTCCTCCAGACACAGAGTACTCCCTGACAGGTACTCCTCCGACACAAGTCCTCCCTGACAGGTACTCCTCCGGGCACAAGTCCTCCCTGACAGGTACTCCTCCGGGCACAAGTCCTCCCTGACAGGTACTCCTCCGGGCACAAGTACTCCCTGACAGGTCCTACTACACTCCAAGGCTCCTCCGGGCACAAGTCCTCCCTGACAGGTTCTCCTCCCACCACCACTCCTCCTGACAGGTACTCCTCCGGGCACAAGTCCTCCCTGACAGGTACTCCCCCCCTACGGGCACAAGTCCTCCCTGTGACACAAGTCCTCCCTGACAGGTACTCCTCCGGGCACAAGTCCTCCCTGACAGGTACTCCTCCGGGCACAAGTACCCTCCCTGACAGGTACTCCTCCGGGACACAAGTCCTCCCTGACAGGCACAAGTACCCCTACCCCGACACACCGTCACCCTCCCTGACAGGTACTCCTCCCCACACAGTACTCCCTGACAGGTACTACCTCCGGGACACAAGTACTCCCTGACAGGTACCTACTGGGCACAAGTACTCCCTACGTCACCCTCCACACAATGTACTTGTACTCCTCAGAGGGACACAAGTACTCCCTGACAGGTACAAGTCCCCCCCCTCCAGACACAAGTACTCCCTGACCACTGGTACTCCCCCACACACAAGTACTCCCTGACACTGGTACTCCCCCCACACAGATCCACCCTGTACCCCCCACAGGTACCCTCCGGGCACAAGTACTCCTGACAGGTACTCCCTCCAGACACAGTACTCCCCTGACAGGTACCCTCCAGACACAGTCACTCCCTGACAGGTACTCCTCCGGGCACAGTCCTCCCTGACGTCCAGACACCTCCCTGACAGGTACTCCTCCGGGCACAAGTCCTCCCTGACAGGTACTCCTCCCGGACACAAGTCCTCCCTGACAGGTACTCCTCCGGGCACAAGTCCTCCCTGACAGGTACTCCTCCAGCACAAGTCCCCCTGACAGGTACTTCCTCCAGACACAAGTCCTCCCTGACAGGTACTCCTCCAGACACAAGTCCTCCCCAGACACAGTACTCCCTGACAGGTACTCCTCCGGGCACAAGTCCTCCCTGACAGGTACTCCTCCGGGCACAAGTCACCTCCCTGACAGGTACTCCTCCCACCACATGTCACTCCCTGACAGGTACCCCTCCAGACACAGGTCCTCCCTGACAGGGGTGGAGCTAGGGGCGGGGGGGGGCGGGGCAGTCATTTCCGATCTCTGTGTTGGGTCATGGAACGTTCTCTTCACATTTTGCATTTTCAGAGGTTCTGTGTGATCCCCCGCCGTCACAGCCCGACTCACAGATACAAAGGTGAGTGACACCCTCCACTGTGTACCCCCCCACCCCCACGTCACCCTCCGCCTGTGTACCCACCCACCCCTCTGTTACCCCCTGCCTGTGTGTCCCCCTCCGCCTGTGTCCCCCCATGTTACCCCCCCTGCCTGTGTGTCCCCCTCCGCCTGTGTCCCCCCCCATGTTACCCCCTGCCTGTGTGTGTGTCCCCCCCCTGCCTGTTTGTCCCCCCTGTGTACCCCGCCTGTCCTCCTCTGCACTCCGGCCATTTAATGGTCTTTTCTGAATGATTTCAGGCGGCTGCTGAGATTAAAGCACTCACCGATTTCTACAAAATGCTGCAACACGAACCCGACCGGGCGTTCTATGGGTAAGACCCTCCCCCTGTACCCCCACCCCTGTGTCCTCTCCCCCTGTACCCCCCCCACCCTGTGTCCTCTCCCCCTGTACCCCCACCCTGTGTCCTCTCCCCCTGTACCCCCCCAGTCTGTGTTCTCTCCTCTGTACCCCCAGTCTGTGTTCTCTCCTCTGTACCCCCAGCCTGTGTCCTCTCCTCTGTACCCCCACCCTGTGTCCTCCACTGTGTACCCTCCTCTGTACCCCCAGCCTGTGTCCTCTCCCCCTGTACCCCCACCCCTGTGTTCTCCTCCTTTGTACCCCCCCCCTGTGTCCTCTCCTCTGTACCCCCAGTCTGTGTTCTCTCCTTTGTACCCCCAGCCTGTGTGTCCTCTCCTCTGTACCCCCCAGCCTGTGTCCTCTCCTCTGTACCCCCAGCCTGTGTCCTCTCTCCCCTGTACCCCCACCCTGTGTCCTCTCCCCCTGTACCCCCAGCCTGTGTCCTCTCCCCCTGTACCCCTCCTGTGTCCTCTCCCCCTGTACCCCCACCCTGTGTCCTCTCCTCTGTACCCCCAGCCTGTGTCCTCTCCTCTGTACCCCCAGCCTGTGTCCTCTCCTCTGTACCCCCACCCTGTGTCCTCTCCTCTGTACCCCCAGCCTGTGTCCTCTCCTCTGTACCCCCAGCCTGTGTCCTCTCCTCTGTACCCCCACCCTGTGTCCTCTCCCCCTGTACCCCCAGCCTGTGTCCTCTCCCCCTGTACCCCCACCCTGTGTCCTCTCCCCCTGTACCCCCACCCCTGTGTCCTCTCCCCCCCCTGTACCCCCAGTCTGTGTTCTCTCCTTTGTACCCCCAGCCTGTGTCCTCTCCTCTGTACCCCCACCCTGTGTCCTCTCCTCTGTACCCCCAGCCTGTGTCCTCTCCTCTGTACCCCCAGCCTGTGTCCTCTCCTCTGTACCCCCAGCCTGTGTCCTCTCCTCTGTACCCCCAGCCTGTGTCCTTTCCCCCTGTACCCCCAGCCTGTGTCCTCTCCCCCTGTACCCCCAGCCTGTGTCCTCTCCTCTGTACCCCCACCCTGTGTCCTCTCCCCCTGTACCCCCACCCTGTGTCCTCTCCCCCTGTACCCCCAGCCTGTGTCCTCCTCCCCCTCTGTCCCCCCCCCCCCCCCCCCATGTCCTCTCCCCCTGTACCCCCAGCCTGTGTCCTCTCCTCTGTACCCCCAGCCTGTGTCCTCTCCCCCTGTACCCCCAGCCTGTGTCCTCTCCCCCTGTACCCCCAGCCTGTGTCCTGTACCCCTGTTCTATCCCCTTACCCTTCTGTGAGCCCCCATGCCATCTCTCTGTTTCCCGTGTAGAACATCAAGTGATGAATAGGCCGCAGTGTGTCGGGGAAATCCATACGTTGAGGATGTTTTGAGGGCAGGTTGGGTCATGACAGATGTGACACCCTTGGGGTTATCAGCCGTTCTCACCTGCAGATCCTTATCTGCTCCTCTGTATCACCACACCCTGATCCCTGGCACTGGTCCTGGGCCCCCCACCCTGCCTTGCAGAGCTAACATCTGGTGTACTGAGAGAACCCCCTTCACCCCCTGCCAGCTCCCCAACACATGTCGGCACCCGCTCTGCCCTACCCAACCTAACACAACTCCACTCAGAAGTCTTTCCATGTCCCGGAACCCGAAGTGTGAAGATTGACTCTGTAGGTGCTGTGGCCCTTTATGGTCTGGATATGAGACCCCGGCACAGGTCTCCCATGCAGTAGTCTTCCTGAGATCTCTATCCTCACTCTTCCCTTTTGAATGCTGGTCCCTCCCAACACTGCCACTGTCCTGGAACTTCTCAACCTTTCTGGGAGCCATACCCTGACACCTGACTGTCCATATCACACCACGCCTCTCTCCCTGTCCTCTAATCCTATGGTACAGTCGCCTTTACCAACAACAATGCCGCGTGACTGGTCTGGTCGGACACCAATTGGATGGATTGTGTAGATAGACCCTCCCCCCACACCATTTAGTTGCTGGTAAAGCCATAAGGAGATTAATCAGATTGATATACTTTTTATACTTCTGGAGACCCTTCAGGTCTACGTTCTGCTGCCCCCCAAGAGAAGATGATGTAGCTGCAGATTCAGGTGCGGCAACTCCAATCCTGATGTTGGTCTGCCCTATGGAGCTGCATGTGAGTGCTGGGATTGGTGGTTTCCCCCTTTGAAGTGGTTCCATTTACTCCCTTCTACTCAGGAACCCTGCAATGGAATATTCCTAGGCTGTGGGATGGTCTTTCTCTGGTCAGGGAGACTCCATTACATTCTGAAACCAAGATGTCCTTGTCATGATGGCTTCTGTCCTGGGTATTGCCAGTTTTCAGACCTATTCTCCTCTTACAATGGAAGATGGACACCAGTCTTCTGGTTTGGGGCGGAGTTCTTTCCAGGGTTTTTGGTCTCTTCAGTATCAATGCTTTCAATCAATATCCAGCAGTTCCAAGTTAGTCTACCTCATTGGACATCCTTCTGACCAGTCAACTGGTGCAAATTCAATGTTGTGGCCTACATTGTGGGGGCATCAGGAGTGTTGAGATGGACATCCTTCAATGATGTAGTTGCAGAGTCAGGTTCGGCATCTCCAATCCTGACATCAGTCTTGTCTATGGAGCCGTATGTGAGTGGTGGGATTGGTGGTATCCCCCTTTCAAGCGGTTCCATTTATTCAGTTCTACTCAAGAACCCTGCAGTGCAACATTCCTAGATCGTGGGGTGATCTTTCTCTGGTCAGGATAATTCTGTTACATCCAGGAACCAAGATGTTTGTCATGGTGGCTTCTGTCCCGGCATTGTCAGACTCGTTCTCCCCTTACAGTGGAAGATGGACGCAGTCTTCTGGGTTGGGGCAGCGTTCTGACACCTCTGTGTATTCTGGGTTGTTGGTCTCTTCAGAATCAATGCTGCCAATCAGCATCCAGCAGTTCCACGTTAGTCTACCTCATTGAATATCCTTCTGACCAGTCATCTGGTCCGAATTCAGACAAAATTGTGCCCTTCATTGGGGGCATCAGGAGTATTGATTTGGACATCCTCCCACCCCAGGAGAAATTGATGTCGCTGCAGAGTTACTTTCAGTAGCTCCAATCCTGATGTTGGTCTGCCCTATGGGATTGGTGGTACCCCCCTATGTGATTGGTGCTGGGATGGTGGTGGTACCCCCCTATGGGATTGGTGCTGGGATTGGTGGTACCCTCCTATGTGATTGGTGCTGGGATTGGTGGTACCCCCCTATGGGATTGGTGCTGGGATTGGTGGTACCCCCCTATGGGATTGGTGCTGGGATTGGTGGTACCCCCCTATGGGATTGGTGCTGGGATTGGTGGTACCCCCCTATGGGATTGGTGCTGGGATTGGTGTGGTACCCCCCCTATGGGATTGGTGCTGGGATTGGTGGTAACCCCTTTCGAAGTGGTTCCATCTATTCAGTTTCTACTCAGGAACCCTGAAATGGAACATTTCTAGATCATACGACAGTTTTTCTCTGGTCAGGAAGATTCCGTTACATCCTGAAACCAAGATGTCCTTTTCCTGGTGACTTCTGTCCCCGGCATTGCCAGTTGTCAGACTTGTTCTCCCCTTACAATGGAAGAAGGATGCCGGTCTTCTGGGTTGGGGCAGAATTCTGACCCCCTCTGTCTTTTGAGGTTTTTTTTGTTCCCTTCAGAATCAACGCTTTCAATCAACATCCAGCAATTCCAAGTTAGTCTACCTTATTGGACCTCCTTCTGACCAGTCATGTGGTCCAACTGCAACGGACAAAGTTGTGGCTTACATTGAAGGGGGGTTGGGGGTCCAGGAGTGTTGTGGAGGTGGAGTCTGTTCTGGGTGGAGTTTCATGTATGGCAATCTCCATGGTGGACAAAGTTGTGGCTTACATTGAAGGGGGGTTGGGGGACCAGGAGTGTTGTGGTGGAGGTGGAGTCTGTTCTGGGTGGAGTTTCATGTACGGCAATTTCCATGGTGGACAAAGTTGTGGCTTACATTGAAGGGGGGTTGGGGGTCCAGGAGTGTTGTGGTGGAGGTGGAGTCTGTTCTGGGTGGAGTTTCATGTATTGCAATCTCCATGGTGGACAAAGTTGTGGCTTACATTGAAGGGGGGTTGGGGGTCCAGGAGTGTTGTGGAGGTGGAGTCTGTTCTGGGTGGAGTTTCATGTACGGCAATCTCCATGGTGGACAAAGTTGTGTCTTACATTGAAGGAGGGTTGGGGGTCCAGGAGTGTTGTGGTGGAGGTGGAGTCTGTTCTGGGTGGAGTTTCATGTATTGCAATCTCCATGGTGGACAAAGTTGTGGCTTACATTGAAGGGGGGTTGGGAGTCCAGGAGTGTTGTGGAGGTGGAGTCTGTTCTGGGTGGAGTTTCATGTACGGCAATCTCCATGGTGGACAAAGTTGTGGCTTACATTGAAGGGGGGGTTGGGGGTCCAGGAGTGTTGTGTGGAGGTGGAGTCTGTTCTGGGTGGAGTTTCATGTACGGCAATCTCCATGGTGGACAAAGTTGTGGCTTACATTGAAGGGGGGTTGGGGGTCCAGGAGTGTTGTGGTGGAGGTGGAGTCTGTTCTGGGTGGAGTTTCATGTATTGCAATCTCCATGGTGGACAAAGTTGTGGCTTACATTGAAGGGGGGTTGGGGTCCAGGAGTATTGTGGAGGTGGCGTCTGTCTTGGGTGGAGTTTCATGTTCAGCAAGCTCCATGGTGGACAAAGTTTGTGGCTTACATTGAAGGGGGGTTGGGGGTCCAGGAGTGTTGTGGTGGAGGTGGAGTCTGTTATGGGTGGAGTTTCATGTACGGAAATCTCCATGGTGGACAAAGTTGTGGCTTACATTGAAGGGGGGTTGGGGGTCCAGGAGTGTTGTGGTGGAGGTGGCGTCTGTCTTGGGTGGAGTTTCATGTTCAGCAAGCTCCATGGTGGACAAAGTTGTGGCTTACATTGAAGGGGGGTTGGGGGTCCAGGAGTGTTGTGGAGGTGGAGTCTGTTCTGGGTGGAGTTTCATGTACGGCAATCTCCATGGTGGACAAAGTTGTGTCTTACATTGAAGGTCCAGGGGTTGGGGGTCCAGGAGTGTTGTGGTGGAGGTGGGAGTCTGTTCTGGGTGGAGTTTCATGTATTGCAATCTCCATGGTGGACAAAGTTGTGGCTTACATTGAAGGGGGGTTGGGGGTCCAGGAGTGTTGTGGAGGTGGAGTCTGTTCTGGGTGGAGTTTCATGTATGGCAATCTCCATGGTGGACAAAGTTGTGTCTTACATTGAAGGAGGGTTGGGGGTCCAGGAGTGTTGTGGTGGAGGTGGAGTCTGTTCTGGGTGGAGTTTCATGTATTGCAATCTCCATGGTGGACAAAGTTGTGGCTTACATTGAAGGGGGGTTGGGAGTCCAGGAGTGTTGTGTGGAGGTGGAGTCTGTTCTGGGTGGAGTTTCATGTACGGCAATCTCCATGGTGGACAAAGTTGTGGCTTACATTGAAGGGGGGTTGGGGGTCCAGGAGTGTTGTGGTGGAGGTGGAGTCTGTTATGGGTGGAGTTTCATGTACGGAAATCTCCATGGTGGACAAAGTTGTGGCTTACATTGAAGGGGGGTTGGGGGTCCAGGAGTGTTGTGGTGGAGGTGGAGTCTGTTCTGGGTGGAGTTTCATGTACGGCAATCTCCATGGTGGACAAAGTTGTGGCTTACATTGAAGGGGGGTTGGGGGGTCCAGGAGTGTTGTGTGGAGGTGGAGTCTGTTATGGGTGGAGTTTCATGTACGGCAATCTCCATGGTGGACAAAGTTGTGGCTTACATTGAAGGGGGGTTGGGGGTCCAGGAGTGTTGTTGGTGGAGGTGGCGTCTGTCTTGGGTGGAGTTTCATGTTCAGCAAGCTCCATGGTGGACAAAGTTGTGGCTTACATTGAAGGGGGGTTGGGGGTCCAGGAGTGTTGTGGAGGTGGAGTCTGTTCTGGGTGGAGTTTCATGTACGGCAATCTCCATGGTGGACAAAGTTGTGTCTTACATTGAAGGGGGTTGGGGGTCCAGGAGTGTTGTGGTGGAGGTGGAGTCTGTTCTGGGTGGAGTTTCATGTACGGCAATCTCCATGGTGGACAAAGTTGTGTCTTACATTGAAGGAGGGGTTGGGGGTCCAGGAGTGTTGTGGTGGAGGTGGAGTCTGTTCTGGGTGGAGTTTCATGTATGGCAATCTCCATGGTGGACAAAGTTGTGTCTTACATTGAAGGGGGGTTGGGGGTCCAGGAGTGTTGTGGTGGAGGTGGAGTCTGTTCTGGGTGGAGTTTCATGTACGGCAATCTCCATGGTGGACAAAGTTGTGGCTTACATTGAAGGGGGGTTGGGGGTCCAGGAGTGTTGTGGAGGTGGCGTCTGTCTTGGGTGGAGTTTCATGTTCAGCAATCTCCATGGTGGACAAAGTTGTGTCTTACATTGAAGGGGGGTTGGGGGTCCAGGAGTGTTGTGGTGGAGGTGGCGTCTGTCTTGGGTGGAGTTTCATGTTCAGCAATCTCCATGGTGCACACTCCCGGGGTGGAGAACTGGAAGGCAGATTTTCTCAGCACACAAGGTCTGGTCCCAGGGCACAGTCCCTCCACCAGGACATTGGTCATGTATGACCCTAGTAGTATGTATGGTCATGTATGACCCTAGTTCCTCCCTGGCCTCTGCCATCTTCCTCATCTCTTGATGTTTTCTTCTAGGATTAAACACGTGGAGAGGGCTAACGATGCGCTGGCCATAGATACGTTGTTGGTGACGGACGAGCTGTTCAGGTGAGTGTGGTTGACCTCCCATATCGCCTCCTGTTGGTCGCTCGTGCTGCAGTTTCTCTGACTCTGTCCTTTCCTCCAGGCACCAGGATGTGCCAACACGAAGCCGATATGTGAGACTTGTGGACAGCGTGAAAGATAACGGGGGAACCGTAAGGTAAGTGGAGAAAAAATTGAGCAGACACTCCTCGGGTGTGTACCTTGGAGGCGGGGTGATAATGGGGGGCTGGGCTTTGTGTAATAACCTCACAAAAGTCACTTGCCAGAGGGAGGTGATTGGATGACATGGGCAGGGAAATGATAGAGCAGATGCTCCTAGGGTGTGTCTTGGGGAATAATGCAGGGGCGGAGCTTTGCATAGTTACATTGCAGGAGCTATTGGGCAGAAGGAGGTGGGCGGGGAAATGATAGAGCAGATGCTCCTAGGGTGTGTCTTGGGGGATAATGCAGGGGTGGAGCTTTGCATAGTAATGTCATAAGAGCTATTGGGCAGAAGGGGGGGGGGAAATGAGAGAACTGATGCTCCTCGGGGGGATGTGTCTTGGAGTCAGAGTACTAATGCAGAGGTGGAGCTTTGTGTAGTTACATCACAGGAGCTATTGGGAAGAAGAAGGAGGTGGGTGGGGAAATGATAGAGCAGATGCTCCTGGGGGGGGGGTGTCTTGGGGTGGGGCTTTGTGTAGTTACATCACAGGAGCTATTGGGCAGAAGGAGGTGGGTGGGGAAATGATAGAGCAGATGCTCCTGGGGGGGGTGTCTTGGGGTGGGGCTTTGTGTAGTTACATCACAGGAGCTATTGGGCAGAAGGAGGTGGGTGGGGAAATGATAGAGCAGATGCTCCTAGGGGGTGTGTCTTTGTGTAGGGACATCACGGGAGTTATTGGGAAGAAGGGGGTGGGTGGGGAAATGATAGAGCAGATGCTCCTAGGGGGTGGGGCTCTGACCTCACTGTACGTGCTGATGTTGGAGTCGGGGTGGATGTTTGGAGCCCGCTTGCAGTGAATTCTGGGAGTTTTCACTCTTGTTTTCCATCTTGTTTCAGGATCTTCTCCAGCCTGCATGTCTCCGGAGAACGTACGTACCCGATGGGGGGTGGTAACATTTCAGGCCTGGTCTGAGGTCCAGGAGGGTTCATAAGGAATTCGATTTGATGGTTATGGAATGGTGGGAAGGTGGAGGAAGCTGCGGGAATTCGTTCATAGCGATACACGGGGCCCAGAGGGTGGGGGGAGGGGGGCTTCTGATGGCTTATAGGGATGCAAGGTGAGAGGCTGCAGCAGGGGCTGATCTGTGTCAGACATTTGTGAACAGCGCCAGGCACTGCACAGGCACCAGGACTGACATCACTGTGTCATCTATGACTCTCCATGATGCCTAAATAAAGTTGGCACCGGAGTACGAGGGATGGTCCGGTCCGTACAGATTATGACCAGATTACAAGGGACAGGCCAGTCCGTACAGGGGATGACCAAAGTACGAGGGACGGGCCGGTCCGTACAGGGGGGAGGACCGGAGTACGAGGGACGGGCCGGTCCGTACAGGGGAGGACCGGAGTACGAGGGACGGGCCGGTCCGTACAGGGGAGAACCGGAGTAAAAGGGACGGGACGATCCGTACAGGGGATGACCAAAGTACGAGGGATGGGCCGGTCTGTACAGGGGAGGACCGGAGTATGAGGGACGGGCCGGTCCGTACAAGGGAGGACCAAAGTACGAGCGACGGGCCGGTCCGTACAGGGGAGGACCGGAGTACGAGGGACGGGCCGGTCCGTACATGGGAGGACCGGAGTATGAGGGACGGGCCGGTCCGTACAGGGGAGGACCAAAGTACGAGGGACGGGCCAGTCTGTACAGGGGAGGACCGGAGTACGAGGGATGGGCCGGTCCGTACAGGGGAGGACCAAAGTACGAGCGACGGGCCGGTCCGTACAGGGGAGGACCGGAGTACGAGGGACGGGCCGGTCCGTACAGGGGAGGACCAAAGTACGAGGGAGGGACGGGCCAGTCTGTACAGGGGGAGGACCGGAGTACGAGGGACGGTCCAGTCTGTACAGGGGGAGGACCGGAGTACGAGGGACGGGCCAGTCCGTACAGGGGACAACCGAAGTACGAGGGACGGGCCAGTCCGTACAGGGGGACAACCGGAGTACGAGGGACGGGCCGGTCCGTACAGGGGAGGACCGGAGTACAAGGGACGGTCCAGTCTGTACAGGGAGAGGACCGGAGTACGAGGGACGGGCCAGTCTGTACAGGGGAGGACCGGAGTACGAGGGACGGGCCAGTCTGTACAGGGGAGGACCGGAGTACGAGGGACGGTCCAGTCTGTACAGGGGACAACCGGAGTACGAGGGACGGGCCAGTCCGTACAGGGGACAACCGGAGTACGAGGGACGGGCCGGTCCGTACAGGGGAGGACCGGAGTACAAGGGACGGGCCGGTCCATATAGGGGGTCCTGGATATAATAAAGGGGCGTGTCATCTGATAGCAGATTTTTTTTTTTTTCTTTTCAGAACTGAACCAGCTGACGGGAGTGGCGGCCATCTTGCGTTTTCCAGTGGCTGAAGGGGTCAGATGACGAGTCAAGCTCTGAGGAAGACTGAAGCTCAGGGGAAGGCTTGCCTTGTCCCCTCCCATGTCTGACTCCTCCCCCTCCCATGTCTGACTTTACATGGACCTGCCCTCTCATGTGTGGCTCCTCCCCCACCATGTGTGGCTACAATGGATACAATACAATGGATGACTGGTCGTTATTTATTCTGCAGAATACGGGGCGTGGCTCTGTCTGGGGTTCCCGATGGATACAATCATGTGATTGGTGTGTGATGTGATGAGGTCACAAGATGTCATCCAATAAATGATGTGAAGTATGGACGGCAATGTGTGTCCCTGTGATCTGTCATCGGGGGGTTCTGCTCCTGTTACCCCAAAACTCAAATCTCAGTGTTTGGTGGATGAACTCCCCGACAGTCTACATGTCCATCATGAGGGGTTCCCACCATCCCTGTGCTGAGTTCCCGGGTCTGTACGCCCGCTGTGCCCATCATGAGGGGTTCCCACCATCCCTGTGCTGTGTTCCTGGGTCTGTACCCCCCGCTGTGTTCGTCATGAGGGGTTCCCACCATCCCTGTGCCGGGGGGGGCATCTTCTGCTGGAGTGTGAAGCAGAAGTTGAACTAAAGCAGGAAGATGCTACAAAGAACTCTCCTGCACGCTGGATGGACTGCAAACACCCCGGGGAACATCTCCAAGTCTGCGTCCCCCTCCATGTACCTGTCACATGCCCCCTCTACTCCTCTTCTTCATACTACTATCCTGTGTTCCCAAAATCTCATCTCTTCACCCCTCTGCTCCACCCCAAACCTACATCTCCCCCTCATGTCTACCATCTCCCTACTACTGCTCTCATCACCACCTGCTGATACTTCCCTCAGCTGCTGACCCAAACACCAGGACTGGAAGGTGTGTGCACTTGTATACATCCCCCTCCCATCTTACTTCCCTCACCCTTCTAACCTCTAGATATCTCCCCAAACCCTGGTCCTCCACTATCTCACCCCCACACCAGGCACCCTCCTTCTTCTCCTAACATCTGGGGATGCCTCCTCAAACCCTGGTCCTCCACTATCTCACCCCCACACCAGGCACCCTCCTTCTAACCTCTGGAGATATCTCCCCAAACCCAGGTCCTCCACTATCTCACCCCCACACCAGGCACCCTCCTTCTAACGTCTGGGGATATCTCCCTAAACCCTGGTCCTCCACTATCTCACCCCCACACCAGGCACCCTCCTTCTTCTCCTAACCTCTGGGGGTATCTCCCCAAACCCTGGTCCTCCACTATCTCACCCCCCCCACCAAGCACCCTCCTTCTAACGTCTGGGGATATCTCCCTAAACCCTGGTCCTCCACTATCTCACCCCCACACCAGGCACCCGCCTTCTCCTAACCTCTGGGGATGCCTCCTCAAACCCTGGTCCTCCACTATCTCACCCCCACACCAACCCTCCCTCCTTCTAACCTCTGGGGGATATCTTCCCAAACCCTGGTCCTCCACTATCTCACCCCCCCACCAAGCACCCTCCTTCTCCTAACCTCTGGGGATATCTCCCCAAACCCTGGTCCTCCACTATCTCTCACCCCCCACACCAGACACCCTCCTTCTCCTATCCTCTGGGGATATCTCCTCACCAAACCCTGGTCCTCCAGTATCTCCTCACCCCCACACCAGGCAGCCTCCTAACCTCTGGGGATATCTCCCCAAACCCTGGTCCTCCACTATCTCACCCCCACACCAGGCACCCTCCTTCTCCTAACCTCTGGGGATATCTCCCCAAACCCTGGTCCTCCAGTATCTCACCCCCACACCAGGCACCCTCCTTCTTATCCTAACCTGTGGGGATGTCTCCCCAAACCCTGGTCCTCCAGTATCTCACCCCCACACCAGGCACCCTCCTTCTTCTCCTAACCTTTGGGGATGTCTCCTCAAACCCTGGTCCTCCAGTATCTCACCCTCACACCAGGCACCCTCCTTCTTCTCCTAACCTCTGGGGATATCTCCCCAAACCCTGGTCCTCCACTATCTCACCCCCACACCAGGCACCCTCCTTCTAACCTCTGGGGATATCTCCCCAAACCCTGGTCCTCCACTGTCTCACCCCGACACCAGGCACCCTCCTTCTTCTCCTAACCTTTGGGGATGTCTCCTCAAACCCTGGTCCTCCAGTATCTCACCCTCACACCAGGCACCCTCCTTCTTCTCCTAACCTCTGGGGATATCTCCCCAAACCCTGGTCCTCCACTATATCACCCCCAAACCAGGCACCCTCCTTCTTCTCCTAATCTCTGGGGGTATCTCCCCAAACCCTGGTCCTCCAGTATCTCACCCTCACACCAGGCACCCTCCTTCTTCTCCTAACCTCTGGGGATATCTCCCCAAACCCTGGTCCTCCACTATATCACCCCCAAACCAGGCACCCTCCTTCTTCTCCTAATCTCTGGGGGTATCTCCCCAAACCCTGGTCCTCCACTATCTCACCCCCCCCACCAAGCACCCTCCTTCTAACCTCTGCGGATATCTTCCCAAACCCTGGTCCTCCACTATCTCACCCCCACACCAGGCACCCTCCTCCTAACCTCTGAAGATATCTCCCCAAACCCTGGTCCTCCACTATCTCACCCCCACACCAGACACCCTCCTTCTGCTAACCTCTGGGGATATCTCCTTAAACCCTGGTCCTCCACTATCTCCCCCCCACACCAGGCACCCTCCCTTTCTCCTAACCTCTGGGGATGTCTCCCCAAACCCTGGTCCTCCAGTATCTCACCCCCACACCAGGTACCCCCTCCTTCTCCTAACCTTTGGGGATGTCTCCTCAAACCCTGGTCCTCCAGTATCTCACCCTCACACCAGGCACCCTCCTTCTTCTCCTAACCTCTGGGGATATCTCCCCAAACCCTAATCCTCCACTATCTCACCCCCCCCACACCAGGCACCCTCCTTCTAACCTCTGGGGATATCTCCCCAAACCCTGGTCCTCCACTGTCTCACCCCGACACCAGGCACCCTCCTTCTTCTCCTAACCTCTGGGGATATCTCCCCAAACCCTGGTCCTCCACTTTCTCACCCCCACACCAGGCACCCTCTTCTTCTCCTATCCTCTGGGGATATCTCCTCAAACCCTGGTCCTCCACTATCTCACCCCCACACCAGACACCCTCCTTCTTCTCCTAATCTCTGGGGGTATCTCCCCAAACCCAGGTCCTCCACTATCTCACCCTTACACGAGGCACCCTCCTTCTCCTAACCTCTGGGGATGTCTCTCCCCCAAACCCTGGTCCTCCACTATCTCACCCCCACACCAGGCACCCTCCTTCTCCTAACCTCTGGGGATATCTCCCCAAACCCTGGTCCTCCACTCTCTCACCCCCACACCAGGCACCCTCCTTCTCCTGATCTCTGGGGATGTCTCCCCAAACCCTGGTCTCCTCCACTATCTCACCCCCACACCAGGCACCCTCCTTCTTATCCTAACCTCTGGGGATATCTCCCCAAACCCTGGTCCTCCCACTATCTAACCCCCCACACCAGGCACCCACCCTCCTTCTTCTCCTAACCTCTGGGGGTATCTCCCCAAACCCTGGTCCTCCACTATCTCACCCCCCCACCAAGCACCCTCCTCCTAACGTCTGGGGATATCTCCCTAAACCCTGGTCCTCCACTATCTCACCCCCACACCAGGCACTCTCCTTCTTATCCTAACCTCTAGGGATATTTCCCCAAACCCTGGTCCTCCACTATCTCACCCCCACACCAGGCACCCGCCTTCTTCTCCTAACCTCTGGGGATGCCTCCTCAAACCCTGGTCCTCCACTATCTAACCCTCACACCAGGCACCCTCCTTCTTCTCCTAACCTCTGGGGATATCTCCCCAAACCCTAATCCTCCACTATCTCACCCCCACACCAGGCACCCTCCCCTCCTTCTAACCTCTGGGGATATCTTCCCAAACCCTGGTCCTCCACTATCTCCCCCCCACACCAGGCACCTCTCTCCTAACCTCTGGGGATATCTCCCCAAACCCTGGTCCTCCACTATCTCACCCCCACACCAGGCACCCTCCTTCTTCTCCTAACCTCTGGGGATATCTCCTTAAACCCTGGTCCTCCAGTATCTCACCCCCACACCAGGCACCCTCCTTCTTATCCTAACCTCTGGGGATATCTCCCCAAACCCTGGTCCTCCACTATCTCACCCCCACACCAGGCACCCTCCTTCTTCTCCTAACCTCTGGGGATGTCTCCCCAAACCCTGGTCCTCCAGTATCTCACCCCCACACCACACCCTCCTTCTTCTCCTAACCTCTGGGGATATCTCCCCAAACCCTGGTCCTCCACTATCTCACCCCCACACCAGGCACCCTCCTTCTCTCCTAACCTCTGGGGATATCTCCCCAAACCCTGGTCCTCCACTATCTCACCCCACACCAGGCCTCCTCTTCTCTCCTAACCTCTGGGGATATCTCCCCAAACCCTGGTCCTCCACTATCTCACCCCCACACCAGGCACCCCCTCTTCTCCTAACCTCTGGGGATATCTCCCAAACCCTGGTCCTCCACTATCTCACCCCCACACCAGGCACCCTCCTTCTTCTCCTAACCTCTGGGGATCTCCTCAAACCCTGGTCCTCCACTATCTCACCCCCACACCAGGCACCCTCCTTCTTCTCCTAACCTCTGGGGGTATCTCCCCAAACCCTGGTCCTCCACTATCTCACCCCCCCCACCAAGCACCCTTCTTCTATCCTCTGGGGATATCTTCCCAAACCCTGGTCCTCCACTATCTCTCACCCCCACACCAGGCACCCTCTTCTCCTAACCTCTGAAGATATCTCCCCAAACCCTGGTCCTCCACTATCTCACCCCCACACCAGGCACCCTCCTTCTGCTAACCTCTGGGGATATCTCCTTAAACCCTGGTCCTCCAGTATCTCACCCCCACACCAGGCACCCTCCTTCTTATCCTAACCTCTGGGGATATCTCCCCAAACCCTGGTCCTCCACTATCTCACCCCCACACCAGGCACCCTCCTTCTTCTCCTAACCTCTGGGGATGTCTCCCCAAACCCTGGTCCTCCAGTATCTCACCCCACACACCAGGTACCCTCCTTCTTCTCCTAACCTTTGGGGATGTCTCCTCAAACCCTGGTCCTCCAGTATCTCACCCTCACACCAGGCACCCTCCTTCTTCTCCTAACCTCTGGGGATATCTCCCCAAACCCTAATCCTCCACTATCTCACCCCCACACCAGGCACCCTCCTTCTTCTCCTAACCTCTGGGGATATCTCCCCAAACCCTAATCCTCCACTATCTCACCCCCACACCCAGGCACCCTCCTTCTAACCTCTGGGGATATCTCCCCAAACCCTGGTCCTCCACTGTCTCACCCCCGACACCAGGCACCCTCCTTCTTCTCCTAACCTCTGGGGATATCTCCCCAAACCCTGGTCCTCCACTATCTCACCCCCACCCCCTCACCAAGCACCCTCCTTCTCCTAACATCTGGGGATATCTCCCTAAACCCTGGTCCTCCACTATCTCACCCCCACACCAGGCACCCTCCTTCTTCTCCTAACCTTTGGGGATGCCTCCTCAAACCCTGGTCCTCCACTATCTAACCCCCACACCAGGCACCCTCCCTTCTTCTACCTCTGGGGGTATCTCCCCAAACCCTGGTCCTCCACTATCTCTCACCCCCCCACCAAGCACCCTCCTTCTAACCTCTGGGGATATCTTCCCAAAACCCTGGTCCTCCACTATCTCACCCCCACACCAGGCACCCTCCTTCTCCTAACCTCTGGGGATGTCTCCCCAAACCCTGGTCCTCCACTATCTCACCCCCACACCAGGCACCCTCCTTCTTATCCTAACATCTGGGGATATCTCCCCAAACCCTTGTCCTCCACTATCTCACCCCCACACCAGGCACCCTCCTTCTTCTCCTAACCTCTGGGGGTATCTCCCCAAACCCAGGTCCTCCACTATCTCACTCACCCTTACACCAGGCACCCTCCTCCTAACCTCTGGGGATGTCTCCCCAAACCCTGGTCCTCCACTATCTCACCCCCACACACCAGGCACCCTCCTTCTTCTCCTAACCTTTGGGGATGTCTCCTCAAACCCTGGTTCTCCAGTATCTCACCCCCACACCAGGTACCCCCCTTCCTCCACAAATAGCCGCAATCCCCTCAATTTAATCTCAATCCCTGTGCTCCTAAAAACCACCCTCCATTTTTCATGTGCGCTCTGGAATGCCCGCTCTGCCTGTATTAAGCTCACCTCTGTCCATGACCTTTTTGTCTCCCGCTTCCTTAACCTACTAGCAATTACAGAAACCTGGCTCCAAGCAGCAGATTCTGCTTCCCCAGCAGCACTTTCCTATGGAGGCCTCCTCTGAACCCACTCACCCAGACCCAGTGGTCGGAAAGGTGGTGGGGTTGGTTTGCTTCTATCTCCACTGAGCACCTTCCAAGTCCTCCCTAACCCTCCATCTCTGTGCTTCTCTTCTTTCGAGACTCACTGTATCCGGCTGTTTTCTCCCATTTCTCTGAGGATTGCAGTGATCTATCGGCCTCCTGGACCCATGTCCCGCTTTCTGGATGACTTCGCCTGGCTACCCTACTTTCTTTCCTCTGAACTACCCGCTATCATTCTCTGAGATTTTACCATCCCTATTGTCAACAACCCGGCTACATCCCAACTCTTCAACATAACCTCATCTTTTGAATTAGCACAATGTATACAGTCCTCCACTGAGTCTGATGGACACGGTCCTCCTCCACTCATTCTGATGGACACGGTCCTCCACTCACTCTGATGGACACGGTCCTCCACTCATTCTGATGGACACGGTCCTCCACTCACTCTGATGGACACGGTCCTCCACTCATTCTGATGGACACGGTCCTCCACTCACTCATGGACGCCATCCTCCACTCACTCTGATGGGAATACATTAGACCTTGTTTTCTCCCTTCTTTGCACTCTCTACAACCTCACACAAACACCCCCTTTCCTCTCTCTGATCACAATCTCATCACCTTCACAGTGTCCTCATCTTCAAACACCTATCCCTCCAATCAGCAATTACCCACAGAAACCTTCACAACTTGAACCCGGCTCCTTTCCACTCTGCAACTGACCAACTCTGACAGAATCTCTCCCCTGTCCTGCCCTGACCTGGCCACTGCTGTCTATAACAGTTCACTTTCATCCACACTGGACTCACTCCTCTAACAACAGGAAGCATCAGACCCCGACCATTAAAACCGTGGCAGACTTACCACACCGGACATCTTAGGAGACACAGTCGTGTGCTGGAGTAATTGTGGCGTAAAACCAAATCCCCAGCAAGCATATAAATCTGCTTTCTTTACATACAATTCCTCCCTCCATGCTGCCAAACAAGACGACTTTGTCACTCTTATTAATACCTTGTCATCCAGTCCTCCTCGTCTCTTCTCTACTTTTAACTCTCTACTTTCTCCACCTCCACCCAGCACCTCACTCACTCCCACCCAGCACCTCACTCACCACCACCCAGCACCTCACTGCTCACGAGATTGCAAATAATTTCAAAAACAAGATTGACGCATATGGTAGGGGCATCTCCACTGCACAGACATCCATCCCACTTAGCGTACCTTATACTAAACCTCCCCCAGCACTTTCCTCTTCTGACCTCGCTACTACTGAAGAGGTCACTAAGGTTTTCTCAGAAGCCCGTCTCACCACCTGCCCCCTGGATCCTGTCCCCTCACAACTACTACGGTCATCCTCTTCTTCCATCCTATGCTCCCTCACTCACATCTTCAATCTTTCCCTCTCTACTGGTGCCTTCCCCTCCCCTCTAAAGCACGCACACATCACTCCAATACGTAAAAAGCCCTCCCTGGACCCCACCAACCTGAACATCTTAAGACCCATCTCCCTGCTGCCAATTACCTCTAAACTCCTAGAACGCTTAGTCTACAATCACCTGAGCTCCTCCCTCACCGACAACAACCTTCTTCACCCTTTACAGTCTGGCTTTCACTCTCACTACACTCCACTGAAACTGCCCTACTAAACCTCACTAATGATCTACTAACTGCTAAAACCAATGGCCACTACTCCGTACTCATCCCAACCAACGGCCACTACTCCGTACTCATCCCAACCAATGGCCACTACTCCGTACTCATCCCAACCAACGGCCACTACTCCGTACTCATCCCAACCAACGGCCACTACTCCGTACTCATCCCAACCAACGGCCACTACTCCGTACTCATCCCAACCAACGGCCACTACTCCGTACTCATCCCAACCAACGGCCACTACTCCGTACTCATCCCAACCAACGGCCACACTACTCCGTACTCATCCCAACCAACGGCCACTACTCCGTACTCATCCCAACCAACGGTCACTACTCCGTACTCATCCCAACCAACGGCCACTACTCCGTACTCATCCCAACCAACGGCCACTACTCCGTACTCATCCCAACCAACGGCCACTACTCCGTACTCATCCCAACCAACGGCCACTACTCCGTACTCATCCCAACCAACGGCCACTACTCCGTACTCATCCCAACCAACGGCCACTACTCCGTACTCATCCCAACCAACGGCCACTACTCCGTACTCCTCATCCCAACCAACGGCCACTACTCCGTACTCATCCCAACCAACGGCCACTACTCCGTACTCATCCCAACCAACGGCCACTACTCCGTACTCATCCCAACCAACGGCCACTACTCCGTACTCATCCCAACAACGGCCACTACTCCGTACTCATCCCAACCAACGGCCACTACTCCGTACTCATCCCAACCAATGGTCACTACTCCGTACTCATCCCAACCAACGGCCCACTACTCCGTACTCATCCCAACCAATGGCCACTACTCCGTACTCATCCCAACCAACGGCCACTACTCCGTACTCATCCCATCCCAACCAACGGTTTTCACTACTCCGTACTCATCCCAACCAACGGCCACTACTCCGTACTCATCCCAACCAACGGCCACTACTCCGTACTCATCCCAACCCGGCCCTACTCCGTACTCATCCCAACCAACGGCCACTACTACTCGTACTCATCCCAACCAACGGCCACTACTCCGTACTCATCCCAACCAACGGGCCACTACTCCGTACTCATCCCAACCAACGGCCACTACTCCGTACTCATCCCAACCAACGGCACCACTACTCCGTACTCATCCCAACCAACGGCAACTCTACTCCCGTACTCATCCCAACCAACATCCACTACTCCGTACTCATCCCAAACCAACCCCACCTACTCCGTACTCTCCCAACCCCCGGCCACTACTCCGTACTCATCCCAACCAACGGCCACTACTCCGTACTCCCCCAACCAACGGCCACTACTCCGTACTCATCCCAACCCCGTCTCCACTATATCCGTACTCATCCCAACCCCCAACATCTTCACTACCTCCGTACTCATCCCAACCAACGGCCCTACTCCAACGTACTCATGCCAACCAACGGCCACTACTCCGTACTCATGCCAACCAACGGCCACTACTCCGTACCCCCAACCTCAGTTTTTTCCCAACCAACGGCCACTACTCTGTAACTCATCCCAACCAATGGCCACTACTCAGTACTCATTCCAACCAATGGCCACTACTCCCTTACTCCTCCCAACCAATGGCCACTACTCTGTACTCATCCCAACCAATGGCCACTACTCCTCGCCTACTCATCCCAACCAATGGCCATCCCTACTCCCTACTCTCCCAACCATGGCCAACTACTCCGTACTCTTACTCACTTGACCTCTCTGCAGGTTTTGATACTGTTGACCATCCCCTCCTCCTCAAAAAACTATCGAACTTCCTCAAACTCAATCTTTCCAAAACTGAGCTCTTAGTATTCCCCCCAGCCCGTGCCCCCTCCCCTGACGGACTTCTCCATCAAGATCAATAACACAATCATCAGTCCCAAGCCCTCATGCCAGGGTACTAGGTGTAATCCTGGACTCCCATCTGTCCTTTCACCCCCAAATCCAATCACTGTCCAAATCTTGTAGACTTCACCTCTGCAACACCTCCAACCTCCGCAACATCTCCAACCTCCGCAACACCTCCAACCTCCGCAACTTCTCTAACTTCCGCAACATCTCCAACCTCCGCAACTTCTCCAACCTCCGCAACATCTCCAACCCCTGCAACATCTCCAACCTCCGTAACACCTCCAACCTCCGCAACATCTCCAACCCCCGTAACACCTCCAACCCCTGCAACATCTTCAACCTCCGCAACATCTCCAACCTCCGCAACTTCTCCAACCTCCGCAACATCTCCAACTCCCTGCAACATCTCCAACCTCCGTAACACCTCCAACCTCCGCAACATCTCCAACCCCCGTAACACCTCCAACCCCTGCAACATCTTCAACCTCCGCAACATCTCCAACCTCCGCAACATCTTCAACCTCTGCAACTTCTCCAAGCTCCGCAACATCTTCAACCCCTGCAACATCTCCAACCTCCGTAACATCTCCAACCCCTGCAACATCTTCAACCTCTTTAATTTCTCCAAGATACAGCCGTTCTTAACCTCAGAAACCACTAAGCAACTTATTCTCTCCCTGGTTATCTCTCGCCTTGACTATTGTAACTCCCTCCTCATTGGCCGACCTCATCACAGGCTATCCTCTCTTCAGTCTATCATGAATGCTGCTGCCAGACTCCTCCACCTTACTAACCGTTACATATCTGCCATCCCTCTCTGCCAATCCCTCCACTGCCCTCCTCTCAGTGTCCCCCACCCCTCTCTGCCAATCCCTCTACTGGCTTCCCATTGCCCAACGAATAAAATTCAAAACATTAACAATCACATATAAAGCCATTTATAACTCCACCCCAAATTACATCACCGATCTTGTCTCCAAATATCACCCAAACCGTACTCTCCCCTCCTCCCACGACATCCTGCTCTCTAGCTCCCTTGTTTCCTCCTCCCATGCTCATCTCCAGGACTTCTCCAGAGCTTCCCCCATCCTCTGGAACGCCCTACCCCAATCTATCAGACTATCACCTACTCTGCCCACTTTTAGGTGATCTCTAAAAACCTCTCTCTTCAGGGAAGCCTATCCCTCCCTCAGCTAATACTGGAATCTTCTACTCCTCCAACCAGTCCATCCCCCACAGTTACTACCGTTTGTACTACTAGCCCCTCCCTCCTAGATTGTAAACTCCAAGGACCAGCCCCTCCTTCCTAGATTGTAAACTCCCAGGATCAGACCCTCCCCCTTAGATTGTAAAAACTCCCAGGATCAGGGCCCTCCCTCTTAGATTGTAAACTCCCAGGATCAGCCCCTCCCTCCTAGATTGTAAACTCCCAGGATCAGCCCCTCCCTCTTAGATTGTAAACTCCCAGGATCAGGGCCCTCCCTCTTAGATTGTAAACTCCCAGTATCAGGCCCTCCCTCTTAGATTGTAAACTCCCAGGATCAGCCCCTCCCTCTTAGATTGTAAACTCCCAGGATCAGCCCCTCCCTCCTAGATTGTAAGCTCCAAGGACCAGCCCCTCCTTCCTAGATTGTAAACTCCCAGTATCAGCCCCTCCCTCTTAGATTGTAAACTCCCAGGATCAGGCCCTCCCTCTTAGATTGTAAACTCCCAGGATCAGCCCCTCCCTCTTAGATTGTAAACTCCCAGGATCAGCCCCTCCCTCTTAGATTGTAAACTCCCAGGATCAGCACCTCCCTCTTAGATTGTAAGCTCCCAGGATCAGCCCCTCCCTCTTAGATTGTAAACTCCCAGTATCAGGCCCCTCCCTCTTAGATTGTAAACTCCCAGGATCAGCCCTCCCTCTTAGATTGTAAGCTCCCAGGATCAGCCCCTCCCTCTTAGATTGTAAACTCCCAGGATCAGCCCCTCCCTCTTAGATTGTAAACTCCCAGGATCAGCCCCTCCCTCTTAGATTGTAAGCTCCCAGGATCAGGGCCCTATCCCTCTTGTATTGAACTGTATTGTTTCTGTATTGTCTTTTTGTTATATTGTAAAGCACTGAGCAATCTGTTGGTGCCATAAATCCTGTATAATGATATGAGGGGTTCCCGCCATCCCTGTGCCGAGTTCCTGGGTCTGTACACCCGCTGTGTCCATTATGAGGGGTTCCCACCATCCCTGTGCCGAGTTCCCAGGTCTGTACACCAGCTGTGCCCATTATGAGAGGTGCCTGCCATCCCTGTGCCGAGTTCCCGGGTCTGTACACCCACTGTGCCCATTATGAGGGGTTCCCGCCATCCCTGTGCCGAGTTCCCGTGTCTGTACACCTGCTGTGCCCATTATGAGGGGTTCCCACCATCCCTGTGCTGAGTTCCCATGTCTGTACACCCGCTGTGCCCATTATGACTATCCCTGTGCCGAGTTCCCGTGTCTGTACACCTGCTGTGCCCATTATGAGGGGTTCCCCGAGTTCCCCTGTACACCTGCTGTGTCCGAGGGGTTCCCACCATCCCTGTCCGAGTTCCCAAGTCCTAGGAGCCTAACAGAAATTTCTACTATGGGATCAGTGACTTGACAATACTAGGGCTGGGAAGATACATTTTTCACAAGCTGTTATAGAGAACACAAAGTCTGCTTCATAAATGTCCTAATAGAGTGAATCCAGAGGATAAAGATGATGGGGTGGAGGAGATCCAGCAGAAAGGTGCGGACAGCAATCTGCAGGCGGGGCCTCAGCCAATTATGAGGAATGAGGTTACACAGAGCTCTGACGGGCACATCCCAACCGTGAGCCAGCTGCCTGCAGGGAGAGATGAGACACTTCTCCAGGTGGAGGGACAGGTAGAGACACGAGTCACCCGCAGGTGCTGCACACATTATAAACGTCTCACAGACATCAACATACTCACTCGGTTCACAGAGGATGCAGAGTTCTCTCTGAGCTGGAGGCCCATCACTGCAGTGTACAGAGAAGGTTGGAGGCCCATCACTGCAGTGTACAGAGAAGGTTGGAGGCCCATCACTGCAGTGTACAGAGAAGGTTTGTAGGCCCATCACTGCAGTGTACAGAGAAGGTTGGAGGCCCATCACTGCAGTGTACAGAGAAGGTTGGTGGTCCATCACTGCAGTGTACAGAGAAGGTTGGTGGTCCATCACTGCAGTGTACAGAGAAGGTTGGTGGTCCATCACTGCAGTGTACAGAGAAGGTTGGAGGCCCATCACTGCAGTGTACAGAGAACGTTGGTGGCCCATCACTGACAGTGTGTACAGAGAAGGTTGGTGGTCCATCACTGACGTGTACAGAGAAGGTTGGAAGCCCATCACTGCAGTGTACAGAGAAGGTTGGAGGTCCATCACTGCAGTGTACCAGTGTACAGAGAAGATTGGTGGTCCATCACTGCAGTGTACAGAGAAGGTTGGAGGTCCATCACTGCAGTGTACAGAGAAGGTTGGAGGTCCATCACTGCAGTGTACAGAGAAGGTTGGAGGCCCATCACTGACAGTGTACAGAGAAGGTTGGAGGCCCATCACTGACGTGTACAGAGAAGGTTGGAGGCCCATCACTGCAGTGTAAAGAGAAGGTTGGATTCCCATCACTGCAGTGTACAGAGAAGGTTGGTGGCCCATCACTGCAGTGTACAGAGAAGGTTGTAGGCCCATCACTGCAGTGTACAGAGAAGGTTGGTGGCCCATCACTGCAGTGTACAGAGAAGGTTGGTAGGCCCATCACTGCAGTGTACAGAGAAGGTTGTAGGCCCATCACTGCAGTGTACAGAGAAGGTTGTAGGCCCATCACTGCAGTGTACAGAGAAGGTTGTAGGCCCATCACTGCAGTGTACAGAGAAGGTTGGTAGGCCCATCACTGCAGTGTACAGAGAAGGTTTGGAGGCCCATCACTGCAGTGTACAGAGAAGGTTGGTGGCCCATCACTGCAGTGTACAGAGAAGGTTGGTGGCCCATCACTGCAGTGTACAGAGAAGGTTGGTGGTCCATCACTGCAGTGTACAGAGAAGGTTGGTGGCCCATCACTGCAGTGTACACTGAAGGTTGGTGGTCCATCACTGCAGTGTACAGAGAAGTTGGGTGGTCCATCACTTCAGTGTACAGAGAAAGGTTGGAGGTCCATCATTGCAGTATATAGAGAGGGTTAGAGGTCTATCATTGAAGTGATATTGAGAAGGTTGGAGGTCCAACATCAAAGTATACAGAGAAGATGGCGGTCTATCAGGGAAGTATACAGAGAAGCCTGGAGGTCTATCAGGGAAGTATACAGAGAAGCCTGGAGGTCTATCAGGGAAGTATACAGAGAAGCCTGGAGGTCTATCAGGGAAGTATACAGAGAAGCCTGGAGGTCTATCAGGGAAGTATACAGAGAAGCCTGGAGGTCTATCAGGGAAGTATACAGAGAAGCCTGGAGGTCTATCAGGGAAGTATACAGAGAAGCCTGGAGGTCTATCAGGGAAGTATACAGAGAAGCCTGGAGGTCTATCAGGGAAGTATACAGAGAAGAGTGGAGTTCCTACATTGAAGTATATTGAAGTTTTGGTGTTTAGCATCGCTGTATCCAGAGAGGCTAGAGATCTAACATTACATATATAAAGTAGGTTGGGGGTCTCTCAAACTGGAGAAATGCTTTTGTGATGTCTAGACTGGGATTCCATCATTCTAGACTGGAAGCTCTTGTTGGAGAAGAGGTGGTGGGATCTACCAGTAGACCACACTGAGGAGACACACAGCTATCCTGACAGGAGGGGTCGTATTGAAGACTGTGGAGATACCTTGAACCTCTTGACTGGTTCTAGCCTGAAGAACGCTGGAATAGTGGACCTTCTATGAGGAAGTCCCCATACTCTTCAGGTGAGGTTAAGGGTGCCTGTGTCCCACAGACATTACTGCTCTTTCTTGTAGTATTATTATTTCTTTAATCCAATTATTTTTCCATAGTCGGGTCTCCTTCTCCTCCATGAAAGATGCTTCTCCTGCTCCTGGCTCATGTCCTCTATGTGAGGTGTGAGGCCTCGCTCCCAGGTGGGTACCGAGGGTCTTCTCACCAAGTAAAGGGTTAATCTTGGTTCTATTTGCACCATTGTTTTCTTGCTCTCTTGGTAGACACAAGTTCATCCCATGTCTTGTCCCTACATCACATTCCTGCCTGGGGCTCCTGGCGTGTTGGGGCGGCTCCTGGGCCACCTTTGAAGTGGGATTGATACAAAGATGTTATGGGTCTCTGCTCAGAGGGGGAGGGTTGGACCAGCTGTACAGATGGATCAGCCTTTGAAGTTTTCACTCTTTTGAAGTTCAGGCTAGGAAGAGTTATTACAGTGTCAGCAAAGGACTGTATGATAATAAAGCCTGGCCCGGAGAGCTAGCAATCTCATCTCTCTGGACTGTCTCCTCACATTAGAACATTCGGAATGCTTCACGGTGAATGGGAAGGATTACCGGGGTTCTGTGAACCATGCTGGAGTGGCAAACGTCCCGTGTCTCTACTGGAACCAGACCGTCCAGCACCGCTTCAACACACATTCCGACCTGTCCGGAGAACTGGGACTCGGGAACCATAACTACTGCAGGTAATCCACCTGTGAGGGATGCATTATGGCGGGGGTCTCCAAACCTTCTAAACAAAGGGCCACTTTACTGTCCTTCAGGCTTTGAGGGGGCCAGACTGTGGCTCCTGGGAGTAGAAACTACCTCAGAATCAGTGGGCGTGGTCAATATCTCAAGCTTGGTGGTCAGCGGAAGTAAAATAATTACATAGTGTCTGTGGTCAATGGGAGGAATAGTGCCCCATCATTGGTGTCAGTGGGAGGAATAGTGCCCCATCATTGGTGTCAGTAGGAGGAATAATGCCCCATCATTGGTGTCAGTGGGAGGAATAATGCCCCATCATTGGTGTCAGTAGGAGGAAAAGTGTCTCATCGGTGTTAGAGGAATAGTGTCCCGTTGGTGTCATTGGGAAGAATAGAGCCCCATCATTGGTGTCAGTGGGAGGAATAGTGCCCCATCATTGGTGTCAGTGGGAGGAATAGTGCCCCATCATTGGTGTCAGTGGGAGGAATAGCGCCCCATCATTGGTGTCAGTGGGAGGAATAGTGCCCCATCATTGGTGTCAGTGGGAGGAATAGTGCCCCATCATTGGTGTCAGTGGGAGGAATAGTGCCCCATCATTGGTGTCAGTACAGGAATAGTGCCCCATCATTGGTGTCAGTGGGGGAATAGGCCCCAATAGCGCCCCATCATTGGTGTCAGTGGGAGGAATAGCGCCCCAGCATTGGTGTCAGTGGGAGGAATAGCGCCCCAGCATTGGTGTCAGTGGGAGGAATAGCGCCCCAGCAATGGTGTCAGTGGGAGGAATAGCGCCCCAGCATTGGTGTCAGTGGGAGGAATAGCGCCCCAGCATTGGTGTCAGTGGGAGGAATAGCGCCCCATCATTGGTGTCAGTGGGAGGAATAGCGCCCCATCATTGGTGTCAGTGGGAGGAATAGCGCCCCATCATTGGTGTCAGTGGGAGGAATAGCGCCCCATCAATGGTGTCAGTGGGAGGAATAGCGCCCCAATCATTGGTGTCAGTGGGAGGAATAGTGCCCCATCATTGGTGTCAGTGGGAGGAATAGCGCCCCATCATTGGTGTCAGTGGGAGGAATAGTGCCCCATCATTGGTGTCAGTGGGAGGAATAGCGCCCCAACATTGGTGTCAGTGGGAGGAATAGTGCCCCATCATTGGTGTCAGTGGGAGGAATAGTGCCCCATCATTGGTGTCAGTGGGAGGAATAGTGCCCCATCATTGGTGTCAGTGGGAGGAATAGTGCCCCATCATTGGTGTCAGTGGGAGGAATAGTGCGCCATCATTGGTGTCAGTGGGAGGAATAGTGCCCCATCATTGGTGTCAGTGGGAGGAATAGTACCCCATCATTGGTGTCAGTGGGAGGAATAGTGCCCCATCATTGGTGTCAGTGGGAGGAATAGTGCCCCATCATTGGTGTCAGTGGATGGAATAGTGCCCCATCATTGGTGTCAGTGGGAAGAATAGTGCCCCATCATTGGTGTCAGTGGAAGGAATAGTGCCCCATCATGGTGTCGGAATGTCAGTGGGAGGAATAGTGCCCCATCATTGGTGTCAGTGGAAGGAATAGTGCCCCATCATCGGTGTCAGTGGGAGGAATAGTGCCCCAAAGGCTGGATAAAGGCAAAGGGCCACAGTTTGGATTCTGGGATCATATCTGGGTGGGTTCTCCTTAGCCGGTACCCCTCTTCATAAAGTCCTGATGGAACTTCCATGTCCAGACACCGAGATAGAATTGCTGTACGTGTATGATTGGAATGTCTCTCTACGGTCATTCCTCATATTTCTGTAAAAGGAAATCAGAAAGCTTAATTCAGAATTCGCTGACCTTTGCCTCTGCTGGTTTCCAGTGTCTGATCCCTGGTGGCCTCCATCTTTTCCCAACTTCTCAGGGCTGGAAAGGTCAGGGTGAGGTTGGGGTGGAAAGGTCGGGACGGGTTGGGATGGAAAGGTTGGAATGGGGTTGGGATGGAAAGGTTGGGAAGGGTTTGGGATGGAACGGTTGGAATTGGGTTGAGATGGAAAGGTCAGGATGAGGTTGGGATGGGGTTGAGGTGGAAAGGTTGGGATAGGGTGGGGATGGAAAGGTTAGGGTGGAAAGGTCGGGATGGGGTTGGGGTGGAAAGGTCGGGATAGGGTTGGGATGGAAAGGTCAGGATGGGGTTGTGATAGAAAGCTTGGGATGGGGTTGGGATGGAAAGGCTGGGATGGGGTCGAGGTGGAAAGGTTGGGATGGGGTTGGGGTGGAAAGGTTGGGATGGAGTTGGGATGGAAATGTTGGGATGGAAAGGTTGGAATGGACGGGTTGGGATGGAAAGGTCGGGATGGGGTTGGGATGGAAAGGTTGGTGTGGGGTTGAGATGGAAAGGTCGGGGTAGGATTGGGATAAAAAGGTTGGGGTGGAAAGGTCAGGATGGGGTTGGGATGGAAATGTTGCAGTAGATAGGTTGGGATGGAAAGGTTGTGGTGGAAAGGTTAGATGGGGTTATGGTGGAAAGGTTGGGATTAGGTTGGGATGGAAAGGTCGGGTTTGGGTTGTGGTGGAATTAGGATGGAAAGTTTGAGGTGGGGTTAGGATGGAAAGGTTGGGGTGGGGTTGGAATGGAAAGGATGGGGTGGAAATGTTGAGGTGGGGTTGGGATGGAAATGTTGAGGTGGGGTTGGGATGGAAAGGATGGGGTGGAAAGGTCGGGGTGGGGTTGGGATGGAAAGGATTGGGGAAATGTTTGGGTGGGGTTGGGATGGAAAGGTCGGGTGGAGAGGTTGGGGTGGGGTTGGGATGGAAAGGATTGGGTGGAAAGGTCGGGGTGGGGTTGGGATGGAAATGTCGGGCTGGAAAGGTGGGGGGGTGGGTGGGGTTGGGATGGAAAGGTCGGGGGGTGGAGAGGTTGGGGTGGGGTTGGGATGGAAAGGATTGGGTGGAAAGGTCGGGGTGGGGTTGGGATGGAAATGTCGGGCTGGAAAGGTTGGGGTGGGGTGAGGTTGGGATGGAAAGGTCGGGGTGGAGAGGTTGGGGTGGGGGTTGGGATGGAAAGGATTGGGTGGAAAGGTTGGGGGGGTGGGGTTGGGATGGAAATGTCGGGCTGGAAAGGTGGGGTGGGGTGGGGGGGTTGGGATGGAAAGGATTGGGTGGAAATGTTGGGGTGAGGTTGGGATAATCCAACAAATAATGGTGTTTTCCTGCAGGAATCCGGATTCTGATGTCCAGCCTTGGTGCTACGTATCCGAGACGGAGGATGGACAATACTGGAAGTTCTGTGATATCCCAACATGCCACAGTGAGTACCGCACACGCCTGGCTATATCCGTGCTCTTCTTGGATATGTGTACAGAATTCCAGACATTCCCTGGTCCCCGGTGAGCACATCCCCGCACTGATGTGTCGTCTGGGTGAAGGACAGTAATAATACCCGGCACATAACCGCCATCCCTAGTCATCCTTCCACTCCGAGTCCGTGTCCTGTATGAGGCCACCATGATGGTGCTTCCCGTGTTCATGCATGTCTGTGTAACCCACTAGAGTACTTACCTTTTCATTACTCGACCAGCTCCCAGCGCTGTCATACTTTGACTGCCAATCACTGCAGCCCTGAACCCACATGACTGTCACACCCCGTGGTTGAGGCAGACGGAGTGTTCTTGGTGGGACTTACGTTGGAGTATTAAAGGAAAACAATTTGGAAAAATAAACAAAGATTTGACTTCCATCACATTTCTTGAAGCCCTAAAATACCAAAATGGTAAAAACACCCCGAAATGTTCAGGACTCGTGCATCCAGTGTGGGGGCCAGGACTATGTGATGCAGAGCAGCCTGCACGTCAATAGTCAGGAGTTAGTGCCCCCTTATGGTGGTGATGGGTGGTGAGTGCCCCCTTATGGTGGTAATGGGTGGTGAGCGCCCCCTTATGGTGGTGATGGGTGGTGAGTGCCCCCTTATGGTGGTGATGGGTGGTGAGTGCCCCCTTATGGTGATGGGTGGTGAGTGCCCCCTTATGGTAGTGATGGGTGGTGAGTGCCCCCTTATGGTGGTGATGGGTGGTGAGTGCCCCCTTATGGTGATGGGTGGTGAGCGCCCCCTTATGGTGGTGAGTGCCCCCTTATGGTGGTGATGGGTGGTGAGTGCCCCCTTATGGTGGTGATGGGTGGTAAGTGCCCCCTTATGGTGATGGGTGGTGAGCGCCCCCTTATGGTGATGGGTGGTGAGCGCCCCCTTATGGTGGTGAGTGCCCCCTTATGGTGATGGGTGGTGAGCGCCCCCTTATGGTGGTGATGGGTGGTGAGTGCCCCCTTATGGTGGTGATGGGTGGTGAGTGCCCCCTTATGGTGATGGGTGGTGAGTGCCCCCTTATGGTGGGGTGGTGAGCGCCCCCTTATGGTGGTGATGGGTGGTGAGTGCCCCCTTATGGTGGTGATGGGTGGTGAGTGCCCCCTTATGGTGGTGATGGGTGGTGAGCGCCCCCTTATGGTGGTGATGGGTGGTGAGTGCCCCCTTATGGTGGTGATGGGTGGTGAGTGCCCCCTTATGGTGATGGGTGGTGAGCGCCCCCTTATGGTGGTGATGGGTGGTGAGTGCCCCCTTATGGTGGTGATGGGTGGTGAGTGCCCCCTTATGTGATGGGTGATGAGCGCCCCCTTATGGTGGTGATGGGTGGTGAGTGCCCCTTATGGTGATGGGTGGTGAGTGCCCCCTTATGGTGGTGATGGGTGGTGAGTGCCCCCTTATGGTGGTGATGGGTGGTGAGTGCCCCCTTTTGGTGGTGATGGGTGGTGAGTGCCCCCTTATGGTGGTGATGGGTGGTGAGTGCCCCCTTATGGTGGTGATGGGTGATGTGATGGTGGTGAGCGCCCCCTTATGGTGGTGATGGGTGGTGAGTGCCCCCTTATGGTGGTGATGGGTGGTGAGTGCCCCCTTATGGTGATGGGTGGTGAGTGCCCCCTTATGGTGGTGATGGGTGGTGAGTGCCCCCTTATGGTGATGGGTGGTGAGTGCCCCCTTATGGTGATGGGTGGTGAGCGCCCCCTTATGGTGGTGATGGGTGGTGAGTGCCCCCTTATGGTGATGGGTGGTGAGCGCCCCCTTATGGTGATGGGTGGTGAGTGCCCCCTTATGGGTGGTGAGTGCCCCCTTATGGTGATGGGTGGTGAGTGCCCCCTTATGGTGGTGATGGGTGGTGAGTGCCCCCTTATGGTGGTGAGTGCCCCCTTATGGTGATGGGTGGTGAGTGCCCCCTTATGGTGATGGGTGGTGAGTGCCCCCTTATGGTGGTGATGGGTGGTGAGTGCCCCCTTATGGTGGTGATGGGTGGTGAGTGCCCCCTTATGGTGGTGATGGGTGGTGAGTGCCCCCTTATGGTGGTGATGGGTGGTGAGCGCCCCCTTATGGTGGTGATGGGTGGTGAGTGCCCCCTTATGGTGGTGATGGGGTGGTGCCCCCTTATGGTGATGGGTGGTGAGCGCCCCCTTATGGTGGTGATGGGTGGTGAGTGCCCCCTTATGGTGGTGGGTGGTGAGGTGGTGATGGGTGGTGAGTGCCCCCTTGGTGGTGATGGGTGGTGAGTGCCCCCTTATGGGATGGGTGGTGAGTGCCCCCTTATGGTGGTGATGGGTGGTGAGTGCCCCCTTATGGTGGTGATGGGTGGTGAGTGCCCCCTTATGGTGGTGATGGGTGGTGAGTGCCCCCTTATGGTGGTGATGGGTGGTGAGTGCGCCCCCTTATGGTGGTGATGGTGTGGTGGCCCCCTTATGGTGGTGATGGGTGGTGCGCCCCCTTATGGTATGGTGGTGATGGGTGGTGAGCGCCCCCTTATGGTGATGGGTGGTGAGCGCCCCCTTATGGTGGTGAGTGCCCCCTTATGGTGATGGGTGGTGAGCGCCCACTTATGGTGGTGATGGGTGGTGAGCGCCCCCTTATGGTGGTGATGGGTGGTGAGCGCCCCCTTATGGTGGTGATGGGTGGTGAGCGCCCCCTTATGGTGATGGGTGGTGAGCGCCCCCTTATGGTGGTGATGGTGGTGAGCGCCCCAATATGATGACAAACAGAGCTAATCATTCAAGCAAACAGAAGTGGTCAACAAACAGTGTTTACCGGCCAATCACATCAGTAGAGTTGAAAAGTTTGTAAGTCATACAAGTGGAGGGTCAGTGAGTGGAGACGTGTGATCGATTCGGTCGGAGTTGTCCCATTGGACGGTCGATCGATCATGCTGGTATTTGCAGTTCAATGTTTTCTTTGTAGTTACTGAGTTCTAATAAGTCGGGAAATCTGCTCTGAACAACATTCCCACCACCGAGGTTCTCACACATGTAATGTGAGGAATGTTTTATTCATATGTACACGTGATCCACCCTTCCATGTTCTCTCCATGTCAGGGGCGGATTGACAACTCATGGGGCCCCCGGGCAACAGGGGATCATGGGGCCCCTGTGTCCTTGCCCAAACTCAAAAAAGCCTATGAAAAAGGTACCAGGGGCATCTCATGGGGCCCCCTACTGACCCCAAGCCCTTGGGCAGTGCCCGAGTTTCCAAATGGTCAGTCCGCCCCTGCTCCATGTTGTTGTCTCCGTGTTCTCTCCATGCTGTCTCCGTGTTCTCTCAATGTTGTCTCTGTGTTCTCTCCATGTTCTCTCTGTGTTCTCTCCGTGTTTTCTTCATGTTCTCTCTGCGTTCTCTCCATGTTCTCTCTGTATTATCTCCATGTTCTCTCCAAGTTGTCTCCGTGTTCTCTCCATGTTGTCTCTGTGTTATCTCCATGTTGTCTCCGTGTTCTCTCTATGTTGTCTCTGTGTTTTCTCCATGTTGTATCCATGTTTTCTTCATATTCTCTCCATGTTGTCTCCGTGTTCTCTCGTGTTCTCTCTGTGTTCTCTCCGTGTTCTCTCCTGTGTTCTCTCCACGTTCTCTTCGTGTTCTGTCCGTGTTCTCTCCATGTTCTCTCCGTGTTCTCTCCATGTTGTCTCCGTATTCTCTCCATGTTGTCTTCCGTGTTCTCTCCAAGTTGTCTCCGTGTTTTTCTTCATGTTCTCTCTGTGTTCTCTCCATATTGTCTCCGTGTTTTCTCCATGTTGTCTCCGTGTTTTTTTTTATGTTCTCTCTGTGTCCTCTCCGTATTCTCTCCATGTTCTGGGTGTCGCCAAGTATTGCGTTCTAAGGAGATGTCACTACTAGACTACGAGGGGTGTTCAGTCACAGCGGGACTTCTGGGTTTCTATAATAAAGGAACACATTTCATGGAGTGGAAACTGCATTTATTTTCCACCCTCCTCCCCTGCTACATTTCTACCCTTCTCCCAGCGTGTCACCAATGCCTGGGAAGCTCCGGCATAGAATGATTTGTCGGGATGCAGGACCCCTCCGAGGACAGCCGGCTTCACTTCCTCATCGCGTTCACCGTTCCCACAGGAAGATTCATCCCTTGTACCATTTCACGATCGATTATCCGGGATCAGGCGTTCCATGCGCTGAATGTTCCCAGGAATGACGGCTGTGGGCTGGGAACCGCCTCGGCCAGGATGGTCACTGATGGACGTACCACCATCTTGGGAACCTTTCCACCAATCAAATGTCTTCCTGCAACTGGGTGTCTCATCGCCGTACTGCGCCTGAAGTCTTCTGTGGATATTGGCGGGTTTTCCACCTTCACTCACCAGAAACGTCCTCACCACACGCTGCTCCACGCACACGCTACCACTGGTGTCCGCCATCTTGATGAACGGTCTCTGGACTGGCCCGCCACATGTGCGCCCCCTATTAGTAATAGAACGCAACTGCCACTTATACTTTGTGCGGTATCGCCACGCCGGCGTCCCTGAATTAAGTGAGAAGTTCCGCTTTGACTTGCACACCGTTTGTAGATGAGCGCCGTGTTGGCGTGTTGTCCATCCAGACGGAGGTGCAGCAACCCTCCTCATATAGGACTCTGTGATTTCTAGTCCTGCCACTAGGTGGAGGTGATATCCTGTAGTACAATGTGATGTTCTCTGGGTGAGGCTGATGGTGACTTCTTCTCCCTGCAGTGCCCGGCTACATGGGGTGCTTCGCGGACTACGGCGCACCTCCCCCCGCTCTCTCCGGTTCCAGCGGGACTTCAGGAAAACTCACCATCCAAACCTGCATCCAGTTCTGCCGTGTCCGGGGCTACCAGGTACTCAATACCAGTCTACAGTCCTACCACCCCCAATACACCCCACAGTCCCACCCCCCCCCAATACACCCCACAGTCCCACCACCCCCAATACACCCCAAAAGCCCTACCACCCCTCAGTCCTCCACCCTCCATTACACCCCACAGTTCTACCACCCTCCAATACACTCCACTGTCCCCTCCCCCCAATACCGATCATATCTGATACTCAATTCATCAACCTTCATCACAATGATAAGGACCCTTTTTTTAGTCATGTGACTGTCATCTTCAAATCTCATTAGAGTCGGGCAACTGCCATTTTTTCTATAAGATTCCATTATCCTGACACGTTAACTTTGTGAGCCTTTTACCCGTCTGCTGCTGATTGGCTGTGAGAAATGCATGGTTCCTGACATTGGTGTTTGGTCTTTGTGTCAGTATGCAGGTCTGGAGGCGGGTTACGCCTGCTTCTGCGGCAGTCCTTCCGATGTGTCCTCATTGCAGAGGGTTAGCAGCTCCTTGTGTGACCATACATGCTTTGGGAAGGCCAGCGAGGTCTGCGGTGGGGACGGGAATCTCAGCGTGTATAGCAGTAAGTACGGCAATATAGATTGGTGATTCCATGTATATAGGGTCCATTTATAGAAGGCCAACTTTCCAGCTGCTCCCGTCATTCTCCTCCCATAGAGGTGAAGATAGTCCATAGATTACAGATAGATCTATGAAAATGTTTCCACAGCTTTTTCATCAGAAATGTTGCAGATAATTTCAGGGCTCCATCTGCTTGTCACCGTTTCCTTCATCCCCCGGACCGGCTGAGGTCAGCCCCTGATATGCAGGAACTCCTCTCTGTAGGCCTCCATGGTGTGATGTTCATGTTGTGCTCTCTCTGCAGCGTGGATCGGGGCCTGCAGCGGGAACTTTTCTTCTCCATCTGGGGTCCTGTACTCTCCGGATTATCCTGATGAATACAGTCCCAGCAGTACATGTTCATGGGATATTCACATCCCGGGAGCTGCCTCTATGGAGATCAGGTTTCATATCTTTCATGTTGAAGATCCAAATGATGTTCTGGAGGTGATAGACAAACAAACAGGAAGTCTTCTCATCCAAATAAAAGGAGGCCAAGATCCTCCCAACATTATAAGCTATCCAACTGCATCTCTTCGTGTTACCTTCACGTCCGATCGCGCACACAGTGGTCAGGGATTCGCCATGACGTACAAAGGTAAGACAAGTTGGAAAAGATCTCCTACAGATTACAGGGGACTCAGGAGTTTGTTGATGGTGGTGGTTGGGGTCCTTCATTCGTAACCACTGAGTGGTCAGCATGACAGGTGCGGGCACACTAGGATAAAAAAAAAAAGGGGTGAACAACCCATTGTTTAGAAAAAGTATCTACTGAGCTGCCTAACCTCTGATGAGGTGAATGACCTTCTAGGCAGAGTTATATATCACCACCATACTACGCAGTGGTCATTGTGGGCCAGGACCTTCCTCAGGGACGAGGAACAGAGATGGACCTCAACACTAACAAAGTTTTGTGATCACCAGATTCACTCTGACAGAGTGATCACATGGCATTGTTATTAAACAAAACCATGTCACACGGGGACAGGTCAGGTTAGGATGCTGTAGGAGTCTGGTTTCAGAGGTGTAATACGGGAAATAACTGGCTTCTCACCCTGTGTTCTAGGTATGATACCCGACTCTGAAAAGTCTACCACTCCAGTTGAAGTGAAGACCAAGAACAGTGAGTTGCACTGCCAATAACCTTCAATGCCTGGTTCTGACCAATGAGGGCCAGCAGTTGTGGGAAGCTGGTCCGGCATGCTTGTGGTTTGGGTCTGGGTTTTGTTGTTGCTGGGTCTGGCATGCTTGTGGGTTGGGTTGGGGTTTTGTTGGAGCTGGGCCTGGCATGTTTGTGATTTGGTTGGGGTTTTGTTGGAGCTGGGTCTGACATGCTTGTGGGTTGGGGTTTTGTTGGAGCTGGGCCTGGCATGTTTGTGTGATTTGGTTGGGGTTTTGTTGGAGCTGGGCCTGGCATGTTTGTGATTTGGTTGGGGTTTTGTTGGAGCTGGGCCTGGCATGCTTGTGGGTTGGGGTTTTGTTGGAGCTGGGCCTGGCATGCTTGTGGGTTGGGGTTTTGTTGGAGCTGGGCCTGGCATGTTTGTGATTTGGTTGTGGTTTTGTTGGAGCTGGGTCTGACATGCTTGTGATTTGGTTGAGGTTTTGTTGGAGCTGGGTCTGGCTTGCTTCTGGGAGTTGGGGTTTTTTCTGTTACCAGGTCTGGTATGCTTGTGGGTTGGGGTTTTGTTAAATTTGGGTCTGGCTTGCTTGTGGATTGGGTCTGGCTTGCTTGTGGATTGGGTCTGGGTTTTGTTGGAGCTGGGTCTGGCATGCTTGTGGGTTGGGGTTTTGTTGGAGCTGGGCCTGGTGTGCTTGTGGATTGAATTTTGTTGGAGCTGGGTCTGACATGCTTGTGGGTTGGATTTTATTGGAGCTGGATCTGGTGTGCTTGTGGATTGGATTTTGATGGAGCTGGGTCTGACATGCTTGTGGGTTGATTTTGTAGGAGCTGGGCCTGGCATGCCTGTGGTTTGGGTTGGGGTTTTGTTGGAGCTGTGTCTGGCATGCTTGTGGGTTGGGGTTTTGTTGGAGCTGGGCCTGGTGTGCTTGTGGATTGGATTTTGTAGTAGCTGGGCCTGGCATGCCTGTGGTTTGGGTTGGGGTTTTGTTGGAGCTGTGTCTGGCTTGCTTCTGGGAAGATTTGGGGATTTGCTGTTACCAGGTCTGGCTTGCTTGTGGGCTTGGGTTTTGCTGGAGCTGGGTCTGGCATGCTTGTGGTTGGGGTTCTGTTGGGGCTGGGGCTGCATGCTTGTGGTTTGGGTCTGAGTTTTGTTGGAGCTGGGTCTGGCATACTTGTGGTTTGGGTCTGAGTTTTGTTGGAGCTTGGTCTGGCATGCTTGTGGTTTGGGTCTGAGTTTTGTCGGAGCTGGGTCTGGCATGCTTGTGGTTTGGGTCTGAGTTTTGTTGGAGCTGGGTCTGGCATGCTTGTGGTTTGGGTCTGAGTTTTGTTGGAGCTGGGTCTGGCATGCTTGTGGTTTGGGTCTGGGTTTGGTTGGAGCTGGGTCTGGTGTGCTTGTGGATTGGATTTTGTTGGAGCTGGGTCTGACATGCTTGTGGGTTGGATTTTGTTCGAGCTGGGCCTGGCATGTCTGTGGATTGGGTTGGTGTTTTGTTGGAGCTGTGTCTGGCTTGCTTGTGGGTTTAGTTTTGTTGGAGCTGGGCCTGGCATGCTTGTGGTTGGGGTTTTGTTGGAGCTGGGTCTGACATGCTTGTGGTTTGGATTTTTTTGGAGCTGGGTCTGCCATGCTTGTGGGTTGGATTTTGTTGAAGCTGGGTCTGATTGGCTTCTCACCCTGTGTTCTAGGTATGATACCTGACTCTGAAAAGTCTACCACTCCAGTTGAAGTGAAGACCAAGAACAGTGAGTTGCACTGTCAATAACCTTCAATGCCTGGTACTGACCAATGAGGGCCGGCAGCTGTGGGAAGCTAGTCCTGGCATGCTTGTGGTTTGGGTTGGGGTTTTGTTGGAGCTGTGTCTGACATGCTTGTGGGTTTGGTTTTGTTGAAGCTGGGCCTGGCATGCTTGTGGTTGGGGTTTTGTTGGAGCTGGGCCTGGCATGCTTGTGTTTGGGGTTTTGTTGGAGCTGGGTTTGGCATGCTTGTGGTTTGGGTTGGGGTTTTGTTGGAGCTTGGTCTGACTTGCTTGTGATTGGGGTTTTGTTGGAGCTGGGTCTGACATGCTTGTGGTTTGGGTCTGGGTTTTGTTGGAACTGGGTCTGGAGTGCTTGTGGGTTGGGGTTTTGTTGGAGATGGGCCTGGCATGCTTGTGAGTTTGGGCTTTTTTGGAGCTAGGCCTGGCATGCTTGTCAGTTGGGGTTTTGTTGGAGCTTGGCCTGGCATGCTTGTGGGTGGGGTTTTGTTGGAGCTGAGCCTGGCATTCTTGTGGGTTTGGGTTTTGTTGGAGCTGAGCCTGGCCTGCTTGTGGGTTGAGGTTTTGTTGGAGCTGGGCCTGGCATGCTTGTGGGTTGGGGTTTTGTTGGAGCTGGGCCTGGCATGCTTGTGGGTGGGGTTTTGTTGGAGCTGGGCCTGGCATGCTTGTGGGTTGCGGTTTTGTTGGAGCTGGGCCTGGCATACTTGTGGGGGGGTTTTGTTGGAGCTGGGCCTGGCATGCTTGTGGGTGGGGTTTTGTTGGAGCTGGGCCTGGCATGCTTGTGGGTTGGGGTTTTGTTGGAGCTGGGCCTGGCATGCTTGTGGGTTGAGGTTTTGTTGGAGCTGGGCCTGGCATGCTTGTGGGTGGGGTTTTGTTGGAGCTGGTCCTGGCATGCTTGTGGGTGGGGTTTTGTTGGAGCTGGGCCTGGCATGCTTGTGGGTTGGGGTTTTTTTTTTTGGAGCTGGGCCTGGCATGCTTGTGTTTGGGGTTTTGTTGGAGCTGGGCCTGGCATGCTTGTGGGTTGGGGTTTTGTTGGAGCTGGGCCTGGCATACTTGTGGGTTGGGTTTTGTTGGAGCTGGGCCTGGCATGCTTGTGGGTTGGGGTTTTGTTGGAGCTGGGGCCTGGCATGCTTGTGGTGGGGTTTTGTTGGAGCTGGGCCTGGCATGCTTGTGGTTGGGGTTTTGTTGGAGCTGGGCCTGGCATGCTTGTGGGTTGGGGTTTTGTTGGAGCTGGGCCTGGCATGCTTGTGGGTTGGGGTTTTGTTGGAGCTGGGCCTGGCATGTTGTGGGTGGGGTTTTTTTGGAGCTGGGCCTGGCAGCTTGTGGGTTGGGGTTTTGTTGGAGCTGGGCCTGGCATGCTTGTGGGTGGGGTTTTGTTGGAGCTGGGCCTGGCATGCTTGTGGGTTGGGGTTTTGTTGGAGTGGCTGCAGTGGTTGTGGAGCTATGTGACCTCAGTGATCTCTCTGTGTTACAGCCTGGTTTCTCCTGGCGGCTGGATTGTCTCTCCTGGCTCTCGGGATCGGCTACTTCATATGGCAGTAAGTTGTCCTGGAAAACTGGAGTGTTGTGTGTAATGGATGAAGCCGTTTGTTTGGGTTGTGTTGTCATGGAATGCTGAGAGAGCCAACAGTTCATCTCTGGACAAAGTTGGTGAAGCCAAATCATGTCATGGGGAATATATACAACTTTGCAGAATGATGATGGTTCTGATTGTGGTGGTAGGTCTACAGTGACATCACACACTTCACTTCTAAATGACCTCTGACCTGGAAGTGTTTAGTAAGGGTTCCCATTCGACTGATCAAATGGACACAATGTGGGGATTCGAGAGGGTTACTGGTCCGATGGTGGGGTAAAAAAAGACCTTCAGTGACAGAACCCTCAGTCAGGTTGGTGTATCACCAACGGTGATGGATAATCGATGACGTTCAATTACACCTGATAGATCCTGAACCAAAAACCTGTCACATATACTATGAATAAGAATAATGCCCCATCATTGGTGTCAGTGGGAGGAATAGTGCCCCATCATTGGTGTCAGTGGGAGGAATAGTGCCCCATCGTTGGTGTCAGTGGGAGGAATAATGCCCCATCATTGGTGTCAGTGGGAGGAATAATACCCCATCATTGGTGTCAGTGGGAGGAATAGCACCCCATCATTGGTGTCAGTGGGAGGAATAGCGCCCCATCATTGGTGTCAGTGGGAGGAATAGTGCCCCATCATTGGTGTCAGTGGGAGGAATAGCGCCCCATCATTGGTGTCAGTGGGAGGAATAGCGCCCCATCATTGGTGTCAGTGGGAGGAATAATGCCCCATCGTTGGTGTCAGTGGGAGGAATAATGCCCCATCGTTGGTGTCAGTGAGAGGAATAGTGCCCCATCATTGGTGTCAGTGGGAGGAATAGTGCCCCATCATTGGTGTCAGTGGGAGGAATAGTGCCCCATCGTTGGTGTCAGTCGGAGGAATAGTGCCCCATCATTGGTATCAGTGGGAGGAATAGTGGGTCAGTGGGAGGAATAGTGCCTCATCATTGGTGTCAGTGGGAGGAATAGTGCCCCATCGTTGGTGTCAGTGGGAGG